CTCCTTGTCCGTAGACCCTATCCACGCTGCAGCAAATCCCTCCTCTCGCCCTATCGCCTCTGTTCTTTTCCTTGTTCCCAAGCGGAAAAAAGAAAATGGGTTCCTTTACATGTTCATTGTTCTTCCTTTTGTTTTTTATTTGAAAGGGAAAGATAAGAAAGAGAGGAAAGAAGAAAACGAGCACCATCTTCTCTTTGCCTGATTTTGCACCTCCCTCTCCTGTCTTCATTTCTCTTCCATGATTGTCATTGCTCTTCCCATGAAAATTGTTTCCTTTTGATCTCTCCTCTCTCCTTTCTCTCTCCCTTCTCTTCTCTTGTTCTCTTTTGAATCTCAAAATCACACCAAAGGAAGCTTCTTTTCCTTATTGAATGAAAAAGAAAAAGAAGAAAAGAGATAGGTAAAGACACTGAAGAGCTCCACTGCCTATTGTTTCATTCCCTTTCCTCTCTTTCTATGTGTTGTTTTCCTTGTCGTTTCAGAAAGCTAGCAAAATAAGGGCAAGGGGGCTTCCTGAAGAGGAGAGAGGGCACCTATTTTTTTAATTATAGAGGGAAAAGCGAGAGACAAGGAAGGGAGAGATGATAGATAAAGAAGAGTGCTATCCGTCTCCTTGTTTATTGTGTCTTCGCTTCTTTTCAGTACCCCTCCAGAATATTCAAATGGCCTCCTTGTTGTCTCTCCTCTCTCACTTCCCTTGCCCTTCTCTCCTTCTGTTACCTTTTAACTAATATAACACAAGAAAGGAACTTGTATGATAAAGCAGTGGAAGGGTAAGCAGAGGGTGACTCCTTGCGCGTGGACATTGCCCATACTTCATCATATCCCTCTTTTCGGCCTGTCTCTTGTGCTCTTTTCCTTACCCTTCTCCTTTTCAAGTTCTTCCTTTTTAGTTTTTCTGTTTCGAAAAGAAAGAGGGAAGGGAGAGAGAAGGGAGAGAGGATAGATAAAGAAGAGTGCCATTCTTTGCGCCTTGTTTTGTCTCTCCATCTTCTTTGTTCATCTTTTTCTATTCTTTTCTTGGCTCTTCCCATTAAAATGGTCTTCCTTTTATCTCTCCTGTCTCCTTCTCTTTCCCTTCTCTTCTCCCATTCCCCTTTAAATGACAAAAACACAAGAAAGGAAGAACAAGAGGGGAATGGAGGCCCTTTTCCTGAATTCTCCTGTTGCAATGAATAAGGAAAAGAGCATAGGAGATAAGGAAGGGAATTGAGGAGCTCCTTTCGCTACTTTCTTATGCCCTTTCCTTTGTATCTACCACACAAAAACACCACTCTCAGCTTCCAAGAATACTCTCGTGGAGACGCATTGGTTAGTCAAAAAACCCGAGTCTCAGCTTCCAAATAGACCCTATTTAAGCCACCCACGGGGGGGGGGGGTGCCGAATTTCCTTCCCACGGAGAACCATAACACATGACAAACTTTTGAGTTTAAATCACGCATCTACGGGTCGTTTCGATGCAGGCTTGGCGATTCGGTACAGTTTTCCTTGGTCACGCATATTCACATCGTGGGCGTGCAGCTTTCTCTATTTGCAGTACCCGTCAAGGCATTTCCCAAATAGGACGTCCGCCTGACATCCCCCCCCCCCCCATCCCCACACAATACCATAATCCTGAATATACAGCCCCCTTTAAAGGAGGTACCGGTACCTTCGGAAGCACACATAATGTAGTAAGATAATCACTTCACATCGTATGCTAATAGATGACTATGCTAATATCAAAATCCTGCCCAGGTCTCGTGCCAGCGACGACAAGACCTTTGTGGACAAACGCCCCGCCGATGGCGAAGCCTGCAAACCCTACCCGAAGACGCAGACCATCGGTGGCGACACATGGACGAACTGTGAAAGGAATCTTCCCCGCCCCCTTAGCGTTTAGGGTGCAGGCCTTCGGGTTTAGGTTTCTGATAGATGTCTAAGAGTCCCGTGTGATCAGCTGGTACTACGACTTACCGTCTCAGGTCTGTTACAGGGAGTTCAGGCAAACTGGCGCAAGGTGGTTCGGGAGCACACGCTGTTAAGCGGACTTGCTGAGCATCAGACTTTAGTGTTGTCTGCAGGAAGGACATCCATCCAAGCATATCCATCTTGAAAATCTCGCGCCTGCGTATCTGACGGTTGAGTGGATGAGTGAGATGTGCGTTGCAACTTGCTAGTTTTGCGATTTTAGTCGATTTTCAGTGTTTTCTCCACATGCAGGGTCGCCCTCTCTTCGACTTCTGAACACCTGCTGCTTCTAGGGGCCTCTTGGGGTTCGTTGGTTCCCAGATCTGCCCGATGCGACGAGGAATGCGGGGTCCTTTTCGACAGCTCCTACCCGGTGGGAGTGGCTGCGGGGAGTGAGGAAGAGATCCTGGTGTAAGTTTGACCGTTGCACGCCACCTGACGCATCGGATGCTGTGTCCCTGCCTTCATGTTTCATACCTACTGGCACATATTGTCCGTGTGCATTGGCTGAAATTGATTCCGATGCTGTGGCACGTGCCGCGTCATCACCGGCAGCTGATCTGGGGGCCTGACAGCAGGAACTTCTCACCATTCCTTTATTGGTAGGAAGCAAGGCCCATAGCAGAGCCCAAGATTGTAGGTGGACAGTCTGAGTGGACATGCATTCGAATCTTCATATGGTGGCTCCATGATATATATATATATATACACCTCCTTTTCCTGAGCTCATATTCTTACAGCTGATGTTGCTCAGACTCCCCCGGAATGGGTCTGGCACTTGCTGTACCTTGTCTTCCATCAGCTGCCGGCACAGCACTCACTTCGCACTTTCGCTTCGGGCACTTGGCTCTTGGAGCGAAAGCCGCAGGCTTAGAAAAGGGTTTAGGGTTTAGGGTTTAGGGTTGAGGGTTGAGGGTTGAGGGTTTAGGGTTTAGGGTTTAGGGAGACCTTGGCTAAGAAGCACCCTCGCAGCCCAACTCTGCTTCAGCTTTTTCTGAGGACTCGAATGCAGCTCCTTTTGTGGGTATTTGGGGTTTAGGGTTTAGGGTAGTATGCTATATAGTCCTTACGGAAACCCGAACGGACCCCCAAAAGGAACCGCATTTCACCAACGAAAATTGCAAGTTAAGCCAGGTCATTGCAGTCTGAGTAGGTCCGAGTGGAGCTCATTGTTTTCTACGCATGCTCGAAGAACGTGTGGCCCTTGCCACTTCTAACATGCTATAAGTACGCTTATGTAGAACGTCCCTATCTTGTCTGTTGTCTGCAATCGTTCGCTACAGTCTTGTGGTTGCCTGCCCGTTCTGCACGCCACCTTGTTACCTAGTTGCTCAAGTACCCTACAGAAATAGAAGCATGGTAGCATAACCATATCTGTCTGTAGGAAAAAAGGAGGTGGAATATTGGACAACCTTACCACTTCTAGCTGTTTCCGCATCCCACGAAACACGAAGCAGCTACCGCATAGAAGCGACTGGAGGTAAGCATCTGAAGCAGCATGTGAAGCAAAGATGCGCGGAACAGAAACCTTGAACGAACATTTGCCATGTCAGACCTTCACGCCTGGAAGCCCTCCTCCTCTTGAAGGATGTTCAATGGCTTACATGTAGAGCCTTCAATTTTGGGATGAAGGGTGGACCCCCTAAACCTAGACCCTAGACCCTAAACCCTAAACCCTAAACCCCATCCGGCATGAGCTCGTGATGGCCGTGCTGGGAGCCGGTGCGGACGGAGAGGACCGCGGCGAATTCGGATCGGCTGCCGGAGTGCTTCTTGGTGCCCCAGTGGTACCCTTGACCCTTTTTTGGGGGGTTCTGGTTTCCCTTATAAAATAACCAACCCAAAAAAGGGCGCCCTTGTGAAAAGATAGTTACTGGGCTACCAAGGCTTTTGGGGGCCATGAGATCGACAGTTAGAGGGTTTTAGGGTTGAGGGGTTGTCCAATGGTTTGCATCGGGTCTCCTGTATGTTTAGTCAGGCTTTGCCGACGTTCTTGTTATTGTTTTTTCTTCTTCTGCTTCTTCTTCTGCTGACGTTGGAGCCAGCGAGCTCGCTAGGTTGGGGCAGGCAGGGCAACCCATACTACCGACAGGTGCTGCAGCATAGGCTCTACTAAGAAACAGAACGGCGCTCTCCCAAAGAGCCCAGGGACTCTTGCAAGGAATGCCTGTTTAGGGTTTAGGGTTTCGGTTTTAGGTTTTGGGTTTAGGGTTTAGGGCGCCTCTCTTGCGGGTTGAAGAAGGGAACCCTTTGATTCCTGCGGCAGGACTTAAGACGAGTCTCGGCTGCCACTGCACATGGCATCTGTTGAAGCTTGGACGCACACCCAGGTCATATAAACGTGAGGGTTTAGCGATTAGGGTCAGGGTTTAGGGTTTAGGTTTTAGGGTTTAGGGTTTAAGGTTTAGAAGGGTTTAGAAGGGTCTCTCAGGGTTGATAAGGGTTTGGGGTTTACGGTTTAGGGTACCATGCAGCAAGAGTCTCCTCAAGACCTCGTTATACTTGCAGTACGGCCCTACTCTGTCCCTTTTGGGCCGCTAGCACCTGCTACTGTAAGGGGAGCCTGTCCTAACATCAACGCTTCTAGAGGCAAGGTTCAGCTTGCACTTTTGGGTGCGCGTAGCATGGCCCCGTTGACCCGAACCTTCTTGAACTGTGCAGTTCCATGCCCGCGCCGGTATGGGTCCCTAAACTCTGAACCCTTAACCCGAAACCCGAAACGGTGCGAGTCTCCCTGACCAGTGATGTGCCTACCGGACCCTTGACGGATCCGAAGACTTCAACTACGAGTTGACATGGGTATCTGTCAAAAATCCCCCCCCCCCCCCCCCACTCCCCGAAAACAAGGTTCCCCTAAATTTCGGAAGCCCCCAAGCGCTTTAAAACCATCGAACCGTAAACACACACACACACAGGGTCTCAGTTCTACAGCTTCTCTTTGAAGTCTTCTCATAGCTTCACGTTCCATATATACAGGGCCAGCCCATCATGCAGACCCGCCAGAATTAAAACACCAGCGTGAACTAGCGACCCTTGACCCGAAGCAAAGGAGCAGATCTTCTCGAAGGCGGCTGGGGCAGTCCCTTCCTCAGCCTTCCATGAGGGACCGTGGCCTCAAATCTTTAAAAGCTTCATCAGCACATCACACCGAGCCCATCTTCGCCGCACCCCACAAGATTCTGAAACCTTAAAGCCTATGCCTTGTCATGTGTGAATGAAGCCCTGCGCATTCCCCGAGCTCGAAGCCCTGAGCCCTTGCAAGGTCTTGCTTAGGTCTGAGGGATTTTGGAGACCCAAGCATACCCCTATAAGGGTCCATGTACCCATTATAGTATGGACCTTGTTCCTTACAAGGGGTTCCCACATTAGAAGCTCTAGGGCCCAAGAGTATATACTATCTAGGTACATGGACCCTTATAAGGTACCGGTGCAGAGGTCCTCCATGTAGTAATTCCTGAGACCCATCTCTAGTGAGGATTTTGGCTCCCAATGGAAAATAGTTAGGGTTTAGGATCTGGCGCAGAAGAAGGGGTTTGGCGCGACCTTGAGGCACAGAGTCTTGGCGGTGCCGCCCAAGGCGGATTTGCCCTGCTGGCGCAGCTCGTCGAGGCGTGCTTTTTCGCATTTTCTACGGTCCATGTACCCATATAGTGTAGTATACTTGGGCCCGAAGGCTACTATATGGGAACCCCCTTCAAGGCACAAGTAGATACACTATGCATGGGTAGAGATGCCCGGATGACATTATGCTGATAAATTGCACCTGACCAAGTACTGTATATATCCACTTCCCCTCTCCCTTCACTGCCTTCCCAAATGAAGTTATGCTGATGAACTGCAGCTGACCAAGTACTGTATATATCCCCTCTCCCCTCGCTGCCTTCCCAGAGAGGAGGCTATCGAGCCGGCGCTCGACCCTCGCGCGGAGGACCCGCCGCCGGCGGAACTGAGGCTGGGCCACCAACCCTAAACCCTACACCCACAGAGTTTGGTGTTTGCCAGAGCCCAAATATAAATAAATACATAAATAAATAGATAAATAAATATATATATATATATAGATATAGATCTCTGTGCAGCTGGCAATCCTCATCGACACCAAAACCTGTCGTCCCTACCGACACATGGGTTTTTGAGCCAACGCTTTGGCGTCCCCTTCGCCCTGCTACTCCTAGCCCCAACATCTCAAAACCCAGAGGCGGAAACATGCAGCTAACACAGCCATCGACGCCTCAAAGGCCCACACTACCCTTCACCCACAAGTCCTCGGCCAGCAGGGTTTGGGGTTTAGGGTTTAGGGTTTAGGGTTCAGGGTTCAGGGTTTAGGGAGAGTTTCTGCTGGCAGGCACACGCCTCCCAAGGTCATCGAGTGTGATGGAAGCCCTGCCGCTCCGGACTGTTCTTGAAGGGTTGGTCGGAAGATTGCAAAAGTTGGGAGCGCAAGCTTCGGCTTCCAGCCTGTAGTTCTTTTTTTGGGGGGTGGGGGGGGTCGGGGGTGGAGGGGGAGGGGGTTCTTGTTTCCAGCTTTTGGCCATTCCTGATAGTGACTATGCCCCTCCTGTGAAATTGGGCATCGTGAATTTTTTTTTGTGTGGCGATTACCGCTCCGGGCACTCCCGACGTGGGCAAACGGGCGTTTGGTGACACTCCTTCAAAAGATCCCTATGTAAGCCATGTCGTGGGGCTTCGCGAGGGGGTATAAATGCTAAAGCTAAAGCTGCCGAAACCGCATAAACATCCATAAGCACTAGCAGGATCTCTTCGAGAGCCTGGTGATTCCGGGGCCTTCGGCCAAGCGCGTCGAGGCGGCGCTCGCTGAAGGACTGGTGCTTTCGTGATTGAGGGTTGTGGGGATCACGTGAGTTTAGAGTTGGGGAGCCCCTCGCTACAAGTAGAGTTATAGCCGGGGCCCTAATCTGGGTTGCAAGGACGATACCTTTAAAGTTCCTCAACTACAGGTACTTTAGCAAGGAGGTCCGAAAGCAGTTGACCAGGAAGCCCAGAAGCGCGCATTGGAGCCCTCTTCAACCGCCATTTTCACAGCAAGCATAGGTGACAAACGACGCTGCAACCGGCACCGAAGTAAGAAATCCTTAAGGCATGGTGAGGCACCCTGTGATTAAGTCCCATAAGAAATATGTGCATGTTTGGGCCTGCCCAATGGTCAATCTTTGGGCACATACGTGTATGTGACCTGCTCTTTTTTGGGGAGCTGATTCAAGTATGGGCCCCCCGAAACACAGCTGACTACTTAAAGGGTCGTGCTGCATCTGCTCAGGAGACAAGGTCCACGCCCCCGCCTCAAAGTCGTGATCAAAATGCTTTGCTGAGGGTCGGTCTCTGGAAGTCACGCTGCGATGCTCTTGTTTGAGCAGCGGCTGTTTGACTGCGGTAAAGTGGGCCACAACAACGAGCCACCTGAACGTGGGAGTTGTGTGCTACTCGTACCAGGCCCCCAAGGATGCATTGACTCCTATGATGAAAGCTACTTCGACCCAAGAGGCACTACACGTATCAGCCCCAAGCCTTATTCTTCGCCGCATACAGGGCACCTGAATTCTTTTAAGACTTGTTGGGGGTTTCCGAAAATAGGGGTACCCTTTTAAGGGGTACCCTTTCTCAGGGGGTCCCTTTAAGGGGATTCTATTCTATTTGGGGTCTCAAAGGGGTACCCCTATTTTTAGTAAGAAACCATTTTGGGGAGGCTGCTTGAGTCGATGAGGTCTGGAGCAAGTCGCGAGGGATCTGGATCGAGGATGGCGTGGTGCAGGAGATCTCAAAGGTGGACGTGTGGGGCTCCCCAAGTTTCTGTCTTTTGCAGGAGTTGGGTCAAAGCTTGGTAGCCCAGTGGTGCCCTTTACCCTTTTTGTTTTGCTTCTGGGTTCACTCAGAAATTAATTATCAAGAAAAGAAATAGCCCAGAAAGGGTGCCCTTATTATAAGATGGTTACTGGGCTACCAAGTCAAAACATGGAACATGACCTGCAGTCTGAGGGCTCATGAGTTAGGGGACAGCTCCAGAAGCAAGAATTGCTTGAAACCTTATAAGCTTTTTGGTTGCAAGTTGGGGTTTAGGGTTTAAGGTTTACGGTTTGAAGTTAGGGTTTAAGGGTTTAGGGTTTGTAAGGGCTTGGGGTTGACATCCAACATACCAGCACGCAGAAACATAGCATGTGGCACATTCCGCCAAGGCAGATTCTGGGGGAGCCCATCTACAGGGGCTCCGCGTTCGTGGTCTTCAATGAGGGTAGCAACTCCAAATGGGCTTTGGGCCCAAGAGTGCTCGTGTCAGGCAACCACAGTGACACTCGAGGGTTGCGATCAGCCTGGAGATCTCTTAACTGAACCCCAACTGCTTCCCCAACATCCCGGAAAGAATCGTGCCCTCATCTGCTTGAAGAGTCTTGAGGTTCATTCGCAGGCCCATGCAAGCCCTCCCCAAGCTGTAAGGTTCGCCCGACCGACATCCACACGCTCCTCAGACGACCAGGGGCGTCCCCTGCTTCGCAGGCTTGCGCCTGCTTTGGTCCTTAATTCGGTCACCAATGAAGGGCTCACGGTTCCAGTGCCCTTCTTCAAGAACTGTTGGTGCTTTTCCGTTGTCATGGTTGTGGGGAATCTTTGCCATAGAGATTCTGCATGTTTGGGGGGCCACAGCTGCTTGCAGCCTGCATCTTGCCCGCAGGCAGCCGCCGACAGCCCCCAGGCAGGCCCGGGAACGCCCATGGCTCCTGGCACAGGTTCCTGGGCGCCACGACCCAATGACCAACCCGAACCCCAGTATACTTTAGCCTCAAAACCCCTACCCTCAAGCACTATAAAGCTGGCTGCAATGTTCTGGGCTGCCCAAGAATGGCCCCACTGAGGCTATCCGACTCCGGCAGATCCCCGCCAAGACGAGGTGAACCCGGATGACAGGACTTCGATGGGGGCCGATACCTCTCATATAGGGGTCGGAATAATTACTCATTGTGTTTCCTTATGGTCCCTTTTATATTTATATTGTAATAACTCCTAAAACCCTCTTCTATTCATTAAAGCGGCTCTATTATGCTGACGGCTGTGGGGATGGGGATAGGGTGTTGGACCACAAGGAGCGAGCGTGTGCAGAAGTGCCGTGGTTCTCTGCGCATTCTTTCCATTGCCCTGCCTACAGCCGCACTCACTTCAAGCGCACGACGCTCTCTCCATGGTCACTCCATGGCCTTAATCGACAAGCCATCGGTCCAGCATTCGGGGCTCGGCAGTTCCTTGAGCCTTAAGTACTCGTAGCACTTCAACCTAGCACCCACAAGTCTGGAGCCCTCAACCGATTCCAAAGGTTCGCCTTTGAAGAATGGAAACAGACTTGGCATGTGCGGGGAGTTTATATTGGGCTACCACAAGTTAATTATATAGAGGTAGCGAGTGATGAATCATTCAGGCCCCGGTAGTGCCCACGAGCGTTGGGAAGAAAGTGGAAACGACAGGCCCTATATAATAGGCCACCTTGAAGCAGCCACCCCCACGAATGCACCGGTCCGACACCTATATCGCCCCTCACAATATTTCACCTATATCAGCCTATATCGCCCCTCACAATAATTCACGTGTACTTGAGTTGAGGCACCCAAGTCATAATTTCAGAATGCTTATATTACTCCAGTCAGGGCTATGACCTCCATCTACTTGTAGAACAATGGGACAGCCCCTGCAAAAGTCCATGATACGATGGCTGCTGGCCCTACTCGCTACGGCCGCGCGCCCGGTCAAGATCTACGATGCAACCAACTACTCAGCGGTGGCCTGGCTGCAGTGAAAGAGATGCAGTCGCCAGGAGGTGAGGGCCCACAAACTTAATCCAAGAATCAGGCATCTCTTCATGTGCTGACCCCTTTGGCGCTTTAGCAACATAGGCCGTGCTTACAAGCCATCACCCCATTTTCCCTAAGATGCGAGACTCAAGGCGACCGCAGACACGAGCGCGTCGTGTCGGGTTCTGCACTGGCCGCAGACGAGCCGCAAGTCTGGCATCTTGCCCCAGGGGGCTGCCGACTTTTTCGCAGCTTAGCCCGAGCAAATGTATAAATATAAAAATTCATATAAATATCAATATATATATATATATATATAACATATATATATATATATACATTTTCTCATGTGGGGTGCATGGTGTTTCGTTTTGTAGGTTTTCAGCCAAGCGCCTTCCCACGTGACGAAAACCCGCTACGTCCGGCAGCCGAGAACCTCAAAGCTGCCCAGGACATCATCGTCACCGATGACATCAACGAGGCGCCATGGCTTGGGGCAGAAGGCAAGATGTGCCTGGGCGGCACCCTGAATCCCGAAGCCCCGGATTGCAAACCCCGCCTCCCCCCCCAAAAAAAAAAAACAAAAAAACAAAAAAGCAGTCCCGGGAGCAGCATGCGGTCGTTAGCCACGATGTTGCGCAGCACCTGCAGCAAGTTCATCCTGAGACCTGACTTCCGAGCGCAGTGCTTGCAGTCAAAAGCCCCTTGCCCACCAGCCCACCCCAAAATCCCCCCAAACGTTTTCTAGCCCTCAAAAAAATGGTGCCTAGGATACCACCCAACCGGCATTCCCAAGGTACTTCCTTGAAGACCGGGACTTCCGTCTGGGCGACCTCTCCCGCGAGCTGGCCCAGTGCCCTTGCACCATAGGTTTAGGGTTTAGGGTTTAGGGTTTAGGGTTTAGGTTGAGGGTTTAGATTCATTGAGCTAGTGTTTCGTTCATTTCTATCATCCTTTGCTGTCGATAAAGAAATCGCAGCTCGCGTCGCATGTCTGGTCTAATCCTTCGGGCCCATACCTCGCCCTTGCCATGTTCTTTCCTGCGGAGTTCCAGGCTGAAGGAGGCGGCCCCCATCGAATGGCGCCGGGAGGGCATGTCAGCCAAGCACTGAGCCACTTAGAGGTGCTGCAGAAATGAGAGAGTTTGAAGAATACTTCACCTGACCCTAAACCCTAAGCCCTAAACCCTTCCAAGCAAAAAAGACCCTTCTAAGCCTTAAGCCTTATAAGCCCTAAGCCTTATAAGCCCTAAGCCCAAAAGGCCCTTAAGCCCACTGCCTTGCTGTGTACGGTGCATGGCCGATCTCGCGCGCGGCCGAGGTCTTCTTACCGGCCGGCGACAGCCATCGCCAGGCGTGGAGCAGTCTTAGAAGTTCGGTTTAGGGTTTAGGGTTTAGGGGAGCTGGACGATCCGGTGATGTTGATACCTGCGTAGTTCTCTAAATTAAGGTCCCTCTTGGGGGCGCCCCTTGTATAAGGTGCTGTACTTTGCAAATAGGACTCAAACAGGTGCCCATAATTTAGAGAACGACCCATGTATCTATTGGGATTTTTAGGCTGCAGCAGCGCCCCTAGCGCAACTTGTGGAGCCCAAGAAGCTCAGGCAATCCTCTTTCGCTCGGAGCAAGTCAGACCCATTGCGCAGCTTCTCATAGGGAACTGTTCAAAGCAGAATCGGTGTTCCGACTATAGTTTTATGTTATCATCATGTCCGGGCATTCGTGGGGGAAAGAAGCGAGAGAGAGAGAGAGAGAGTGTGTGTGTGTGGGTGTGTTACTTTGGAGCTATCTTCGGCTCCTGTACTAAACCCTATAAACCGTAAACTCTAACCTTAAACCCTAAACCTTAAACCTTAAACCCTGTATAAGCCCTAAGCCCTATCTCACAGCCTGTCAAACAGCAAAAGCTGTCGGGCTGATGCTGGGCAAATCTGATCAGGGCTTAGGGTTTAGGGTTTAGGATTTAGGGTTTAGGGTTTAGGGTTTAGGGTTTAGTCGAAACGGCCGAAAGCCTCTGTGTGGCAGGAGCTGGAGGAGGCAAAGGTGCTTATGCCGGCCAGCGACATGGCAAGGATGTGGGACCTAGGGTTGAGGGTTTAGGGATGTTTACGGCTTCGAGTTTAGGGTTTCGGGTTAGGGGTTTAGGGTTTAGGGCTAGGGTTAGGGTTTAGGGATGTATAGGGTTCAGAGTATATAGGAAGCTGGGCGGCGCTCAGACTTGGGAGTGCACGCCCCAAGGCTACTTCATTGACGATGGCACCTTTGAGACCCGGCATCGGGCCTTCAAGAACTTCACGTTCTCAGTGCCCGAGACGGCATGCATGTAAGGGTTTAGGGTTTAGAGTTTATAGGGTTTAGGGTTTAGGGTTTAGAGTTTATAGGGTTTAGGGTTTAGGGTGGCTTGTATTGGCTGCTCCTGTTTGTAGGTTTTCAAACTCGCTTCGCAATCAAGCTGGCTACTTTCGTCCTCGGCCTGTCCGCTTGTCTGATCTGGTCCGCTCTTTCAGCAGAACTCATGTAAGGTACTGCGGATGTTGGACCAGGACGACCTTTGGCTGAAGCTTTGACTTGCACGTGCTTGCAGATTGTATCAGACTGTAGTGCTCGCATGGCTGGGGCCGGGATAGAACCCTAAACCCGAAAAACCCTAAACCTCAACCCCTAAACCCTAAACCCCAAACCCCAAACCCCAAACCCTAAACCAAGCAAAACCCAGAAAACTGAAAGGCGCATAATCATGAGACCCGAGGTCGGCACCCCCCCGCAAAGTTTGGTCGACTGCATGTCACATGGCACCGTGCCCGTCATCATCGGCAGACACCACAAGTCGCTTTGACCCCAAGAAAGGCACTTCTCCAAGCATGCAGGGTTTAGGGTTTGGGTTTTAGGTTTGGGGTTTAGGGTTTGGGGGTTGACGTTTAGGGTTTAGGGGTTTAGGGTTTAGGTAGTCCTTTTTAATTTTAAGGCGGCCCTGGTGATTTGAATAGAGGGCACCCGAAAAATAAGGGACCGCATGTTAGAGAACTGACCATATAGCCACCTCGAGCTCTCGCATGGCTATCTATGCAGAACTTCTTCTTGAGCTCTGTGTCAATTTTTCTGTTATGAACATGAACGCTGTTGGCTCCAGGATTGACTACACGAGATACTTCTCCTACGCTTTGGTCAAGTTTCGAGACTTCTCCGTGGAGCAGGCCGCCGCAACACTCGCTGCAACTTGGGGGTCCGAAGTGAGTCGATGCCGAAACCCTAAACCCTAAACCCTACACCCTAAACCCTAAACCCCAAAACAAGCCTCTTTGGGCACCTCTTGCCAGGCCATCACCTTCATGCTGACGGCCCCAGCTGATGCACTGTACGTCTACGCAAACTCTGTGAAGATTGTGCAGGAGTTCTTCTACATGAGGCAAGAGGGCTGTTGCCAACGATCTTTTTTCTGGCTTCCATCTACATGGGCATTTCCCAAAACAGGGGAACACCTTTTTACACCCCCAAACAGAACAAAATCCGATTAAAGGGACCCACACAAAAGGGTATCCCTGGATGTCGGAAGCTCCCACGTGGCAGCAACACGTCGGGCCACGTTGCTGATGCCTAGGTATCGGCATCCTTTTCACCTCCGACTGCGGCGGCATGCGCAGATGGTCTCTTGCCCAAAAAAGGCCTTGTTGCCAATCGAACATGGACATGCCACACCTCGTGGTGCCCTAAACCCTAAACCCTCAGCCTACACCCTAACCTTAAACCCTAAACCCTAAACCGTATACCCTAAACCCCGCAACTCTCGAGCATGAGTCGTCATGTGGCTGGACCCACCTTATGAGCCCCGCCCCCTTGAAAGCCAAGGCTTGCCATGCGCTGAAAAGCCCAGCGCCCCCGCTGGCGGCTCGAGCTCAAGTTGGGTGGCTTAGGGTTTAGGGTTCAGGGTTCAGGTTCAGGGTTTAGGTTTTTTTAGGGTTTAAAGGGGATTGGGGGCGCACTTACAGCGATCATGTTGAAGACGAGGCTTTCGTGGCCATCTACTCCGCCAAGAAGACTCCCAGCTTCAGAAAATGGTCGACATAGGTTGGTGGTTCGATGCTGTGCAGACACGACCGCCCTCATCTTGACAGTATAGTCTCTCTGCAAGCTTAGCCCAATTGGAACGCCAGCCGCTTCCCCACACGAAGACTCCTTTTCAACCTTTTCATGGCCCTTCACGAAATAAAGCCTTGTAGCAAAGAGGACCCTGCATCATCCTGTTTTTTGTTATAGCATCCCATGGACCTAGTATTTGAACCAACCAAAAAATGGAAATACTGTCCCTTATTAGGGCAATCTAGGGATTCTACTTCGTTTTGTTTGGGTAGGTCCTTGGGACACAGCGAAGGAACTTCGGAAGGCGCATGGCACTTCGGGACACCTGGCTCCCCATACTCAAGGCGCGTGGCTTGAGCCACAAGTGCCCAGGCTTGTTCAGAAGTGTTCTGGGGCATGCACTGGAACTGTAAATCTGAGTCATCTTGGGAGTGTATAAGCATATATGATGGCTTCTAGTGCATGGGCTGAGTGCCTTCTTTGTTCCTGTCGCAGCTGCTGGATTAGGTTTTTCCTGGCGGGCACAGAGGTCGATGACCAGTCAGAAGTTGACGCGCTGCTGCGGCGCGAGCGCGACGTGTTCGACGATATGGTGTTTCTTACTGGAACGACTGACGAGTACCCCATCGGGCGCAAGGGCCTTGCGGCCGTGCTGTGGGCTGCACATAACACCGAAGCCCAATTCTGGCTGAAGTTTGACGATGACCTGTACGTCCGCCCACATCTTCTGCTCAACCGCCTCTCCAGTCTGCAGCGAGCTGAACTGTATTGGGGCGCCTTCGACTACAGCGGGATGGTGGTACGCGACCTGTCCGATCCGCACTACACACCCTACGACGTGTGGCCGGAGCCTGTCTTCCCGGCGTACGCGCGCGGCGCGGCCGTGGCGTTATCCATGGACCTGGTGCGCCTGATTGCGGAGCACGAGGAGAAGTTGCCCTTCAAGAAGATTCGGGCCCGAGAGTGTTGTCTGAAAGCTGAGCCTACTTGTAGCTTCGCTAGCAGAGCTGCACCTAAACAGCAACTCCGTATATATGATGAATGGATTAAAATAAATTCATACAGAATTGCACCTTAGGTTCGGTATATGGGTGCAAGGATGTGCAATCCCCTGGCTGCTTGTATCAAGCACCCTCAACCCCTAAACCCTAAGCCCTGATGAGGTGGAGGATGTCTCCTATGGCTTTTATCTCTACCAGCTGACCTTCGACCGGCAGGTCACCTCTGTGACCATCTTTGACCGCGACGAGGACTCCAGAATGCCATTGTTCGAGAGGGGGGGCTCAGGGCTTTTGGGCCTTATAGGGCTTGTAGGTCTTACAGGGCTTATAGGGCTTATAGGGCTTAGCGTTTCGCTGGTTTAGCATGCCCATTCTCATCACAGACGTCTGCCTTCCGATCAGAGACGTCTGGCTCAGGACCACTTCGCCATGGATGCCAAGTGCTGCACGGAGGCATGGGGAATAACCTGTAGCTGTCGTCGCCTACCGCTGACGAGCCGTGTTCTATATGCCTTTCAGCAAGCAAATGCCCAAGTACATTGCACCTGGCCCTCCTTGGGCTTCCGAACATGGGTTGTTCCTCTAAACTAGGGTCCTTCTTCCTGATTATAAGGGTGCCGTGTTCTATACTACACGGCAAACAGGGACCCTCATTTAAAGAACTACCCACATAGAGGTTAGTCTAGGACAGCTCACAATTGTTCGCCGGAAGCTGCTGAGATTGTTCTTGAAGGCATCGCACCCGAACAACTGCTGGCTTCCCCTCAACGCGCGCCTTGACATCGGTTTCATGCCCTATAGCCTTTTCGAGGTTGTCACGGCTTGTGTCCACTCAGCGAGCCCGGATTGGAGTATTTGCTTTGGGGTGTAGAAGCGGGACAGAGAATAAGAGGGAGAGAGAACGAGAGAGACAGAGAGAGGCAGAGAAGGAAACAAAAAACAGAAAAAGCAGTTGAGACGTAAACTCTACACCAATTAAACCCTAATTGTCGCCATTCGCCAGCCCAGGATGCAGGGAAGTTCGCTTAGCGCTTCGGGAGGGTTCAGGGCTCACAGGAATGAAGAGTTTCGACTGTGCAGAGCCCTGGCTTGAGGTAGCTTGAACGGGTCTGACTGACATTTGGGGTTTTGAAAACTGCGGAAACCTTTCTGGGGTTTCGAACTAATGTTTTCGTATATCGGGGTTTTGCAAGGGGGCGCCCTATGCGAAATGCAGATGGCCCGGAGCCTTCCAGCGTGAGAGTACGTAAGAGTGGTATTGCAAAACATGTTCTGTTGTTCTTCGTTGGGGTCCCATACTGTAGCTGCCTTGTACCTTCTGTGCCGTACTGGACACCCTTGCGAAAAAAAGAAAACGACCCCCGAAACGAACCCTACATTGGAACCACCGTGGGGGCTCGGCAATCTCGAGCCAACATGGCCAACCAACAAAATGTGCTCGTGCACGCCTGAGGCAGACGTGGATTGCACACCACGTGACACCCAGCACCATCCGCTGCATGTTTGCGAAGGACTTGGGGTGTGAGTCAGAGACGTTCATACGAACGGTTATGAACGCACCTCTTTTAATGTCGTATGATTGCAGCCACACAGATTTGAAGGACTTGGGATCTGGGTTCTACACCCCGTCAAGCGCAGAGACGCGAAGCATGTGACTCGCATGGCACCAAGGTATGTATGTTCAGCCTTATACTCATAGCCTTATACTCATGTATAACATATATCTATATATTATATATTCACATATTTATTGATTTATCTTTTTTTATTTATGTCTTGTTAGATATTTATTCATTTCAACCCTCAGAACCTTGAAAACTCCAGAAGAAGACCCGCTGAGGACCGGCTTGCTGGCCGAGATGGCAGCCTTCGACCCTCACGTCCCTTTGTCATAGTGGGGTAACGTTTTACATGTTTTGTGGGTACTTAAACTCAGTTAAGGAGTAGGAGTTTGAATATTTGTGTACTTATGATTTCATTTTTTCGAATACTACGCCCAACCATGAACTCTAGGTCCAGTCGGCGACCGGCCCCATCCAGCGGGGTGAGATCCCACTGTCTGGGTCCGGGCCTCCTGCGGACCTCTGCGGCTGCGTGGTCACCCCGCCCGCGCACCCAGGGAAGCCCCTGCAGAAGGGAGGCATGCAGGAGCTGAGCAGTGGGCCAAGGCTGCATGTGGGCTAGCCTCGCGCGCTGTCCAAAAAGTGTGCTTTCCTGAGGGCGAAATCAAGGGGATGCTTTCTAGAGTCATATATTAAATCCTTACTCAACCTTTCTGGACCGCGAAGGCTTTTCGAGTTCATTGAGACCCCAAGGTTCTTCTGAAGGGGTCTGCAAGTTCAATTCCGTCAGATGCTGTGCTGCACGTGGCCCAAGAGTTTGCCATGCAGCCCTCCTTGCAGCAGATTCCTAGTATCGAAGCCCTGCCCAGCATGTTGCAGACAGGACGGCTGAGCTTCAAGCCATCCACATGGCCTGCCAGAGGGACAAGCGCAGCTACTGTGACGAGTCCTTCCCTCCAACTAGACATGGCCCGGTCCCCAGCAGGCGAAAAGTCGGCAGCAGACAGCCATGGAACCCCTGTGCCCCGATGCACGTAAGTTACACACAATGCTCCCAAGAGTCGCCGTCAAGTTACTTCCCAGCTCTCGAAGCCGAGGCCGCGTCACCAAATGGTGCAGGCGAGTGGGCTGCTGTCGGGGTTGCAGGAGACAGAAGTGGTGTCAAACTGAAAGTGAGGAGTTCCATCCAACTTGTTGCCTTGAGCATCACTGTGGACGGTCGTCCAGTCTTCTGGCTTCACGCTCATATGGTCATTTGCACAAGTGCTGGAGGCCTCATGAAATCGGGGCCCACGACGACCGCATTCTCTGGCGCCGGGAGGACGACACAGGGAAGCCTACCGAACTTGCTTCTGCTTTTTGCCCCTCAGGGAGATTGCTTAACGTCTTTTGTGCCCTCGGGTTCATCAGAAGATGTCACAGAGATTCCCTCAAAGCGGCACCAGCAGCCCTGGTAGAACGCTTGCAGGACTGGCAGCTCTTCCGGGGAACCCCTAGCGCCGATGACGTCCAGCAGGGCGAGCCACTTGTCCAGGTTTCAAGCGTGCACCTCGGGGTCGCTTTACTAGGCCCACAAAGCCAAAGCTAAGCGCCTGAAACGAGAACAACTATAAACGCCCAAAAATCGCAAGCAACAAAAAACTCCGTGCAAAAAACTCAAGGCTTGGGCACTAAACTATGTAAGCAAGCCCTGAGCCAACACAAATCGACGGTTAGGCTTTGGGTTATAGGTTTAGAGTTTTTGGGTTAAGCCCAAACCCTCTAACCTGTATGAACCCTAACAACCCTTAAGCTTTATATCCCAGGCTGGGGGACTGCTGGTTCCTCTCCTCCCTGGCCGCCATGGCCGAGTTTCAGGGCGGGCGCTTGGTGCAGAGGCCAGGAACTTGCGGAGGGCACCGCACTCTCCTAACTATAGTTAGAAGGGACTTGTCACCCTTACTTGTGACTTGTAAAAGAAGAATCACTTTGCTTGTAGAGGGAGGGGAGGGGTTCAACTCCTTTGTTTAGGGTTTGCAAGATCACCTTGAGTTGAAGGGGGTTTGGCCAGATCGTGTGTTGCTTTCGTTTCCTTTGGTTCTCGTTGCCGAGATTGCGTGGCGAAGTTGCCGTCCACAAGCCCCCGAGCGCAGGTTACTCCCTGACCAGCGCCAGTTCAGTCGCCCTGGGGCTTGGCGCTGAGAACTCTGCTCTGTTGCGGCGGCATGGCCTCGGCAACCGCTGCGTAGCCATGCAAGTACGATAATGCAGCGCAGCGCGTCGCCTTTGCAGATGTGCACGACACGGCAACTGCATTCCATTAGAAACCGCTGTAGATCTCGATGCCTGCAAGCTTGAAAAATGTTTCCAATGCGCAGGGAGTTCTCGGTCCACAGAATACATGTAAAAATAGGGGTCGGAATAATTACTCGTAGTATTCCCTTAGGGTCCCTTTATAAGGAAACTATGGTAACCCCCAAAACCCTATTCTAATGTCTCAGGCGCCTTTATGTGAGCCCCTCCTCACTCCCAATACCTGCAATCTCCTTGACGAGGCCTATTTAGTGCGATTCTGGCTCGGTGGTCGCTGGCGGGATGTGTCTCGACAAGCACCACGGCCCCACCCCCTGATCATAGCCATGGGTCTGTTAGCTGTTAGTACAGGAGCCTAAATAAGTACCAACTTAGTACTCCTCATTTTTTGTAATGTAACTTCTGCTATAAGCTTCCCAAAAAACATCTCAACCATTTCAATTTCCCAGGCCCTTAGACGCTGGCTGACTTGAAGACTCACTTTGGCAGCTTGAGGTTATAGTTGACGACCGCCTGCCGTGCATCGGAAACGGTCTGGGGACGTGCCCCAGAAACCTGCATTTGCTGAAAGAGCCATCTGCAGTGCGTTGGGAATGAAGAGATGGGCTGATAGGGATCGGGGTTTCGGGTTGTGAGTGCTGAGTTTGGGCCTGCAAAGGATGCTCCACACGTGGATGTGCTTGAGTTTGGGTTCTTTGAAGCAAGGCTGCACTAGAGTCACTAGAGTCTGGCCTGCACCGGCCAGGTACACGCAGCTGGCGTATTGCGCTACGCGCAAATGTTCGCAGCCCAAGGGCACGAATAAGGAGAGGGGTTTTCATGTTCTGCAGACTATCTAAGCCGTCGCTCTTAAACCCGAAACCTGGATGGAACCCTAACCCTAAACCACCCAAACCCCAAGCTTGTCTTGACAGTAATTAGGTCAGCTTTGGGCCAGTATCATCGAAAAGGGCTTCGCCAAAGCTTGCGGCTCCTACCAGGCCTGTTTGGCGACAGCACTGTTGCAAACGATGAAAAGTCGCATTCTGAATGGTCTTTTTGTTTCGCTCTGAAAACTCGAATGACTAATTAAACCTCAAACCCCCAAAGCCGAGGAGCCCCTGAATCTTGGTGGCAAAAACACAAAAGCAAGAGCAAGTGCGACAAGAGCTAGTGCGACTGCCCATTGCAGCTCACAAGTGCTTCATGACGGCTCCTGAGTTGACCTTGAAGACTACGTCTACTCAAAGTTTCATAGGCAGTTGTGCAATTCGGGTTCTAAGCACCTTAAGTCAACGTGATTCTATTTACCTTTTCGAGCCGCCTTCGTCATAGAACTTTACCTAATATCCAAGAACCTTCAAACATACATGGGCAGGCCATTGCTGGCGGAGAGGCTGAGGAGCGCCATGGAATTTAGAGTCAACAAGGTTTGCTTCGGGCAGTGATGCTGGCTTGGCATGCAGTAGCTTCAGTCGTTTCGATTCAATTTCGATGATACGAACTGGCGGAGGGTCTACTGTTCGCTGTGAGCTTGCGTTCCCCCGAGCAAGCAGACATGTGCACGTCCAGCCTGCCTCAGCAGGAAGCTCTGACCATCCTCACCGGCTGGCCCTGCGAGACCATCCAATTCGACAAAGAGGCTGTCAGCTACAAAACACGGCTTCCTACTTCAAGAGTTATGTTCATGGGCTGCTTTGGAGGTTGCAGGAGTGACTTGGGCCGGCGCATACTCGAATGGCCATGGCTCCTGCTAAAGTTGTATCCGACTTGCTTTGTGCAGTTTGAACTTTGCAGGGACCAAGGTTCAAAGCCTCAGCCTTGTTTCTTATGTCCTCCATGCAGATGAAAACAATGTCTGTCTTGAGTTGCACCGCCCCTGAATCCAGATCCAATTGTTCGCTGACAGTGAAGAGTGTGATCTCAACGCCTGTGCGATTGTACATTGCGCTGACTGACTGACATGCGGTGCGGGCTAGGAGTTTGATGCCGACATTCTGTGGGCGACAATGTGTACGTCCAGAGATGCCCCTTGCTGGCAGTTCAGTTCTGCCGGTCTTGCTCATGCCTAGGTCTGCCATAATCAGGAAAGAACATGTCAGCTCATCAAAAGGCAAAGTTCCTGATGACTGTCTCCACGAGCTCCAGCAAGTCTCGAAGTGAAGAGGCATGGAGTGGCACATCAGTGGAAAGGTGGTGGATGCATGTTCAACTTTGTCAGTCAAGACCTGGTATACAACATTTCAATATAATACAATATCACATAAACGATGTGTGTGTATGTGTGTGTGTGTGTGTCAGGAGATTCGGGCGGCAGGGCTCGTCCCCAACCATGCCTACTCCCTGATCGACGCCTGGGCCCTTTCTGCAGACTCGCAACGCTGCCGGCTATGTACACCCCTCTTCAATTCTGTCAGACAAGCAATGCTAGACTAGCTCCTACCGATGCCGACCACCACAAGTCTGATCAGAGCGCTTGGAGAATGAAGCTGGTCTTTTTGTCCGAGGCCTTCGACGTCCTGGACAGCCGCTGGCGGCTTACTGACCGTCAGACTTCAGACATTCCCGCATGCTGACCGGAAGGAGCCAGGATTGCCTGGCTGATGCTTGTGAAGACATCATGGGCCATCATGGGCTTAATGTAAACTGACAATGGAAATGCAATGAAATGAGCCAAAAGCATGGCAGCTTCCCCAAAAGGCCTTTTGTCTTGCAAATGTCCCTTCATCCGCACGGGACTGAAGTTGTTCTGCTTGAGGTGGGGACAGGCTGCGGCTACTGAAGATCCGCAATCCTCACGCCAAGGCCAGTTTGGACGACGCACGCAACGGTGTGGAAGAGATTTGCATATAATTCATATAATCTGCCTGAGACGAGCAGGATCGATGGCGGGGCAATTGGTCAGAGACGAGCGCCTTATATAGAATTGATTCAGCTTCTGGTTTTAGCTGCAAATGCCGCCTCCCCCTGGCCATCCCCACAGCGGCTGAAGAGGCACGAGATTAGGGTTTGTAGGGTTTAGCCCACCTTTAGGACCCTGCCAAGGCCATTTGTGGACTCCGGAGCTTCGGGAGCAGCTGGGCTGTCAGAAAGCCACGCAGGCGCTTGGAGGTTGCAGACAACGACTTTCCTCACCATTGCCTTCCCTAACCCCTAAACCCTCAACCCCTTGCTAGGATGGTCTTGAGAAAAAACCCTCAGGAAAAAAAAAAAAAAGTTCCTAAACAAAATCCTCTTAAGCCCAATAAGAGAAATAAACTATCCCAAGGGCCTACTACCTAGCTTGATATGCCTTGCCACAAGAAGGGCTGCGGAATGAGAGGAGCATGCTGTTGGTTTTTTTGCGTGGCCCTTTCTGCGTCTAGACTTCTCGTCTTTGGAAATGAAGATGCTCGGCCCATCCCAAGGTTGCATGCAATTGTGTCTGTTGGACTTGGCAGGCCGGTATGTTCTTCATGTGCTTCGGCGACTTCTTGAGATGGCTCGGGCCTTGGGCTCTCCACAATTATTCAAATAGTGCATTCATCAACCGTAAGTCGTGCTGGGGGATTCAGACCCCCCTGGACTTGTTTTACTCTACCAAAACCCTGCGCTAAAACTCACTGTGATGTGCCAGCTTGGTTGTGGAACGTTTAGCATGAAGCTGAGAGACCGCTACTGCTTTGTTTGGTGGCATGTACTCAGGCCCTCGAATTACCACTAAGATCTTCACAGGAGATGACATGGCTCAAGCATCGACAGCAATGGCTCACAGCCTGAAGCTTCAGCATGTTCTCGCAGCATTGCGAAGTCGATGGTCGCGTAAACTGGCCACCAGTCAGTTCACCGGCGTGAGTTGGCACAAAGTCGCACAAAAGTTCAGCGCCACGGTCTCTGTTGCAGGCACGAGCTATCATGTGGGCTACTTCCAGTCCGACGTAGACGCGGCATGCGCGTATGACGAACGGCTCCGCAGCTTGTGTCAAGATCAGGCTCGACTGAAGAGGTCATTAAACTTTCCCACCCAGATGGAAGCCCTTTTCACAGAAAGTGCTGCTGAAGCTCGAGATCGCGCACTTGCGGCACGCATTGCCAGCGGCGCAGACCAAGCAGAGGCGCAGTCCATACGCCTCTTGCAGGCTCTCTTCCAATCATCGGACCAGGCAGCAGACTATGAAATAGTTACGGTTGCCGGACATTCTAAGGTTGATGCGCTTTTCCGGCCCAAAGGGTCCTGCAACGGGGGCCTCTGTCTTCAACTAAAGTCGGCTAGCGCGAGCGGAAACCGTAAGCAGTCGTACTACTTCAGGAAGGTGCAAGGCTACGCGGGTATGCTGCTACTTCTCATACCCCGGGACCTTGAACACAACATTCTTTGGCGAATTCCTGGAAGCTTGGTCACCCAAACATCCTTGAGGCTAACTTTGGGCACAAGCAGAGATGAGTACTTGCGCGTGCCTGACATTGGCCGTACCTTGTATGAGTGCTTCCATCAGCCTGAACACTTTCCTCATTGTACAATGAACGAGGCTGCACTACAATGCTGTGCTTCACACCGCATGGAACAGCAGGCGCACCGATTGATGGCTAGGGCGCTTTCCTGCTCACAGTTCGAGCTCAGGAAACCGTTGCTGACATCAGGAACTGTAGACTCAGTGCTCAGCACACACAGCTCCGCCGAATGGAATGTGCAAGAGAAAGCATCCCGCTTGAAGAGCAGAAACCGTTATCTAGTAAACCTTTGGAAGAATGGCGGGGCTTTGGGTCGACTTGCGTATGACGAGCATGATTTCGATCTGCTCCTGGTCGCCATTATGGATAACGAGGCTCTGTTGGGCATGTTTGTGTTTCCAGCCCCTCTTCTGGCTGAACGAGCGCTGCTAGGACAGAAGCCAACGAACTTGGAGTTGTATCCGCCATGGAAGCTGCCCAAGAGCCCGAGTTGCAGAACCAGGCATGCCTGGCAGTTGGATTACTTTCTGGACCTACGTGGTTGGGATGGCTCAGCAGTGCTCCCATCAGTAACGCATAATCGCCTGGTCAAGCTGCTGCCGAGAAGTCAATAAAGGTACATGGCGCATGAGAAAATATCAGAAACACATTCTGCAACATGGCCGACCTGGTAGCTGGGCAAAGCTAAGCTGTCCGATTCCTCGCGTTCACGAAGCAATCCTTAGATAAGGCCGGGTATTTTGTTTTTCGTCGTTAGCTTTGCATGCGAATTGATAGCTTGCGCACAAGGTTGAAAGTTCAAATTTGCACCACTTGTTCGTGGATTACGTAACGGAGTCGACGAAGGATATCTGCACGGAGGCTGACCGCCAACATGCCACCGGATGCAACTACATGTCCTGCATACTTCCGACGCATAGCATGGCGTGCTCCAACCTGGATGCCTCGGTTCTCAGGTTCGAGCGCTGCACCATCTGCAAGGTGCGCAGCGATGGCTGGCACAAGGTGCGACTGGCATCTTGACTCCTCCTCATGGCGTGTCCACATAAATCCCCTTACCCTGTCGAGACCCTAAACTTCTATACCAAACACCCTATAAACCCAAAGATTCCCAAAGCCACAGGTAGCTGTCTGGCCTCAGCTCTGCATGCTGCAGGTTCGCATGCCGACCGAACTGCCTGGCAACATGGTCCTTCCCAACTCAGGCCCTCCACTTTGCAAGGACTTCGGTTTTCTGGTGCAGGGTTTGGAAGTTTCAGGGTTTAGGGATTGATTTTTTTGCATCAGCCTTTCGTTTCATTCTGATTGGTCACGTTCGGAAGTCACGGACGTATCAGCTTGTTTCTCTTGCAATGTCGTGTGGAGCGCCATGCTCCTTGAAGGCTGGCTTCTCACCGTTTCAGAGGCTTGGCTGTACTAGAGTACATGCCCTTGTGCGTGGCAGTACGTCGGAGCACTGTTCGACTCACTCACAAGATCGTCACAATTGTTACACGTTTCTGAAATATGACGGATGCGGGCTGCCCTGAAACTACAGTCCTTCAAGCCGAGGAAACCACGGAGTGCGTTGAGCTCAGACAGTGGCACCAGCAGCCCAGGGTTGTTAGCTAGCCCAGAGGTACGAAAAGAAGCACCAGACACCTATAGGCACTTCCCACATCCTTTGCAATTAAGCGTCTACGCTGCATAACTTCAAGATTCAACATCCTCTCTTGCCCTCAATGCCCAGGCTGCCTGACTGTCGCGCAGCCACAGGATCGTGCCAAACCAGGGCCGCTGCTTCGACCTTGGGACGATGGGAACTGTCCAAGGATGGTTTCTGGTCAGATCGTCGATTTCTCAACTCTCCACGTTGCCTCGAATTCACGACAAGGATGCCTCTTCAAGTGGCCTAATTCTTTAGCAAGGAGTGGCCTCTTGCCCAGGTTCCGCGCGCTGAAGCTAGGCCCCATCGCAGTGGCAGGCTTTGTTTTGGTGGGCGCCCCGGACTTCGTAGTCATGAGCACTGTCTCCTCACATACGCGCACAAACACAAATTGCATTCCACATAATATGCACGTTCTGAAGATCATGCCCATATCAAGCAATTATGACGAACCATATCAATCTGGGAGAAGACAAACGGGCCCGATAGTCTAGAAAGACCTGAAACATCCCTTCATTCGTTCCGTCCTCTTCCCAGGTCGAGGCCTCAAGCCCGCAGAAGCTCAGCGTGGCCGCAGCCAGAGCCTGAGCTGAGCAGAGGGAAGCAGTTTCAGATGGTTTGAGGGTGTAGGGTTTAGGATCCTCTTGTCGAGAATACCCTGAGTTACGCAAACTCCTGAGAATTTTTCAAAAGTGTCGAGGTGCTCATGTCGGGCATGCTTGCGGTCTCTCTTATGGTTCTTATGGTACATGAGCACTTTGGCTGTTGGGTGCTGGGGCAGCATGAGGAGGCTGGAATGCTATTTAGCAGGTGCTAGCCGTACAAACCATCCAGTTGGCGCAGGCATTTCGCTACTGTACCGTATGAAAAGCTTGTCCTAAACCTAAACCCTACAAACCCGAAACCCCAAACCCTAAACCCGAAACCCTAAACCCTACCCTCAAGTCGTCCGCCTGGAGTCCGAGCAGCCATGTGGGTTCCGAGGTGGGCCATCCTCGCTCCCGGGCTGTTGTGTCAGCCGACTGCTGGTTGAAGCCAGGCCAGTCCGAGACATGGGTGGTTGTCAAAACTATGGTCCCTTTTTGGATCCCTATTAGAATGAGGCACCTTATATTCAGGGTACCCCAAAAGGGATCATAATTTTGACAGCCACCCACATGTTTGCACGAACCTCCTGATGCCCTGATATGGGTGCTCTCGGCCATGGCAGGTATGTTCAGGTATCTTCATTAGGTACCGTGTTTCCTCTTGTAGAACACTTTATACCTGATGTTACCTTGCTTCATGCGTTGCAACAAGAGCCAGCAGGTCATGGTCAGTTGGGGAGTTTCTTTTGGTCCCGGGTTGTTGGCGCGGGTTCTTTGAGGGGTCTCCTACTTCCTGTTGCCCCTGAGCCTGCATGAGAATGACACGATGCCGGCGGCACTCGCCTGAGACTTTCCTTGGGGGCTCCAAGAAGCCTCCGGAGTCGGTGTATAGAGTTGACCATTTTTTACAGGTGTGATACAGATGATAGTTCATATCATACATATATATATATATACTTAAAGGCTGACGCCGCTGCCGCCCACCCCCCAAGATAAGGACGTCCGGATGATCACCCAAAAAACACACAAGCCTGCTCTTGAGTGGCTCCCATGCATGGAAAGTAGCCAACATCTGTCGCCTTCCAAAACAACAAATTCGGCTGTTTTTGGTCCTTCTCCTGTGGGGGGGGCGGCTATTAAGGGGTAGGGAACACAAAACGCGTGGTCCCACCCGCTTGGCCGCCTTCCAAAACAACAAATTCGGTTGTTAATTCGGTTGTTTTTGGTTGGGCGGCTAGGCAGGGGGGTTGGGGGGGGTAGGGGGGGTAGGGGGGTTGGGGGGGGAAAGGTGCCAACAAAAAACGCGCAGTTCCAGAAAAAAGGGTACCAACAAAAAACGCGAGTGCAGGGAAGGGGCAGGCCGCGCAGTGCCGTGGGGAGAGGTAACTGCGGGTCCAAAGGGGGTCGGCGGATATAGAGAGAGAGAGAGAGAGAGTGCATTCTGTGGACAAATGCCTGGTGCTGTCTCGGTCCGTTCAGGCCATTTAAAACCCATCTTCTTCGCAGACCAAACTGCCACCTGCCATGCCCATAACGACTACCGCAGCGATGTCTTGAGGTCTTCTCCTGCTTCAGCCGCAAAGCAGTGCAGATCCAGGAGCACAAGTTCTCAGAATCGGCGCCCCGGCTGCACGTGCTCTTGAACACGTCCTCCTGACCCGTTGAACAGTTTGCAGCGACTGGCAGAGAGGCTGTGATGGCAACCTGGAGTGCCTTCATCAAGCCGCTTGGCCTGCTAAGAAAAAAGGCACAGATGCTGGGGGAGAGGGGTCGCCTAGCAAAGTTCACAGAAACTACTATTTGCTTAAGAACCCCATCCAACTCAAAATATCTTTCCTTACAAGGGCAATAGGGATTGTTATGATTTTTTTGGGGGGGGTGGGTTCTGAAGAAAATAGTAGGAAACCCTCTTCTGGACGTGGCCCGTGACAAGGGCTAGTGAAGGCCGAGATTGGGCTGGCGTTTAGGATGTTGCTTCTCTGTCAGGTTGCTGCGTGGTGGCTTTGCCTGACAAGGTCATCCGAGAAAGCCCCGGACACCTTCCACGGTGCCAAGCCGGGAAGCCAAAATCTGGAGGGGCTGAGGTTTTGTTTAATTAGGGGTGATGATTGTGGGGTTTAAGGCTGGGACTTCAGAGCTGGGTTGTTGGGGCCTTGTTTCTGGAACTTGGTCTCAAGGTCCCACAGCCTTTGCCGCATGCAGAAGCGACGTGTCTACCAAGGGTCTACACGGCTAAGAGCGGCGGTGGAATGGTGGCATGCCTGGCCGTGCTCTTACTTATCACGCCAGGATTATAGATCCGCACTGTGTTTTTCCTGCTAAGACATGGCGTGAGCCTGGGCAGGTCGCTTGGCCATGCCATACAGTAGCTGACTGCCAGCTTGTGCTTTCATGCCGATCTTTGTTTCGACTAGTCCCATGGGTTCTCTTGATTCCGAAGGCCGAGAATCACAGCCGCGGCTTCTTTCAAGCTTGCAGCCTCAGCTATGGGAATTCTCTCGTGAAGGCAGCCACTATAAAGCTCTGAACTTCGTGATCTCAGACAGCAGAGGTGGCCCTGGTTACTGACATCCACTTGATAGAGCCCCCCCACTAAACCCTGCAAACCCGAACCCCTCGGGTCTGGGTTGGAACCTGTCCCCGCAACCCCGAAATTGCAACAAAACAGTCTTTCAGACCTCTGAAGTCCCCGCAGTGTGCGCGAGTGCTGGGCCCTGAAACCGCTTCTTGGGGGAAGGGTCAAGAGGGCAAACGCTCCCCGAGGCCGAGGTCACCTTCAACAGTTACGAGGATGGCAAGCTCCTCTTCTCAAGGCCCTCGCAGTCTACCAATGGGAGGGGAGGGGAGGGGAGGGGAGGAGGGGCTGGGCAGCGCTTACAAGGTTGAAGGTCGAATGTTCCTGTGGTTTCCCAGTGCTGCGTGTGCTGCGTTGCGCATGTTTGCCTGGGATGCAGCAGTGGCCCTAAACCCTAAACCCTAAACCCTAAACCCAGGAGCAGCAACGTCACCAAAGACTGGATCGCGCCCGGCCAAGCTCAGATCCTGCAGGCCCGGGCGGCTTCTTGCCATGAAGCGCCTGTCTACTTAGTACTTAGAGCAACCCATATAATATCCATATAATATTGACCCTGATAAGCCTAAAGATGTGCACATGTGTACTGACACATATGTACATGTATGCAAAGAGCTTTGAACTGAGAATGCTCTAAGAGGCCTGTGAAATTGGTTCTATATCTCTGGTTTGCAGTAGTAGAGAAACCTCGGGACCACACACATTAAGCACGAGGTCAGTTTGCAGCCGCCGGGGCTTGGAATAAGCGCCGAACCTGGCGAACCTGCAAAGCGCTCCTTCTGACTTCAAACTCCTGAAAGCCCCGCAGGTGGTGCTTCCGCAAGGCTCGGGCGGGGGCTGGCGCAGCAGCCAGCGCTACGAGCTGCGCTTCGTGCGGCCTCGGCCCCGAACGACTCCGGGCTCGCCCTCTTGGTAGAGGGTATACAGGAAACGTAAAGAAACCAACGCCAGGAAGGTTGCCCTTGCTACGACACAAGTGCTGTTGTTTTGTTTGGTTTGTTTTTTTCTCGGAGGGTTTAGAGTCGGCGGGATGTTCATTGAGGATATTGGAGATGTGATCTCGTGTACCCTCTAGCTGTTTTGGCCGGGGGAGAGGGAAGGAGGCTTTCTTTCAGTCTAATCAAGCCTGTAAGTTTTGATTGAAAGGGGGGTGTAGCAGGTTGGGTAGATGAGCCCTCACCTTCATTCATGCCGGGGGGGGGGGGGGGCCTGAACAATTTCAGGGTTCGGTGTCGCGCGCCTCTTGACTCGGCTCAAGTTTTTTAAATGACGCAGTGCCATGCAGTGCCTACACTACGACTTGTTCTCACCTGGGGGGCCCTTCTTCCAAAAGCCCTTGGCACAAACCATCGGGCGCACCCATGTCAGTCCATATTCATTGTAGACCATGGACTCCATATGGGCTATCATAGTCATCAACCTTATGCTTCGGCTGAAGCAGTCTCTGCAACATGCGAGCCCTATAAGCCACAAACCCAATACCAGTATAGCCGTCCACGCGAGACAAGACACCGCTCTGCTTATGCAGATGCTTTACGTACACAGCAGCCCAGTTCCCAAAGAATAAGACGCCCGTTGCTCCCGCCGACACCTTGGACAGCGGCCGCACAGCCTCTCAGCGGCAAGTTTCAGGATTGAAAAATCATAAATCAGAAACCCTTAAACGCCAACAGCGCCATCATTATACCACCATTAGCACAGACCATATCTCGGCACTTGGTTCGTACAATAGTAAGCATGATCTGCCTTCTCAATCCTCTTCCGAATTGTCCAGTGCTTGTCTTTGCATGTTTTTGGGGGAAACAAGCCATCCTGCAGGTGGCCCTCGATGCAACTCGTCGAAGATGTGGGTTTGTTGAGGCTTTCAATGGCTTTCGGAAAACGGGCTTGGATTGACCTTGCGTTGCATACTGCATTCTGTCTGGCGGACATCCAAATAGTTAAAGCAGGTTCGGGGCCCTTGTGGCCCACAGTCAGCCAGAAGTCTGCAGCTGGTCTTGCTGGGCTTGAGGGTTGCGATTTTCAGAGCGACTTGCCGAGTGCTCCTTGTGATGTAGGCTATAGGCGTCAGCTTGCTTGCTGTCTTGGATTCTTGGACATTCGAACATTTGCCCTCAGGATTCCTTGTACAGCTGGAGGCAAGATACCTGGAGAGAGCCTCGGCCGAATTGTGCCTGAAGATGCCTGCACCAACGCTGCATTCTGAGGGCCGTGTGAGCTTCGATGAATATCTGGAGTTTTTGGAGCATGTTTTGTTTCATACGCGATGGAACATCATACTGTCGGGAGGGCGTTAAAAGAGCATGGCCGCTTTTGAGGACCAACCTCACCCACTGTCCATATCGGCAATCCTTCGTGCGATGTGGGCCACACCATCGGGCGGAGCTTTGCGTCCTCGACGACGACGATGCCCGGCATGGATGGGGCACCGGTGTTTCCTAGCAGCCTCAAGTGATCTTGAGCCTCAATCAGCAGCAGCAGTCGAGATCCGCCAAGCCCTTGTCCCAAAGGCTTCAATCTGAAAGTCAATTGCTATACATTGTCCATGGTACATGGTAGTCCTAAACACCCGAGCAAGCTTCGGCCCAACTCCCTATGCTTCATCAGCGGCCTTGGGAGCTTCCGATGATCAGGACATCCGTCGCCTGCATAGCATCTGGGAGAAGTACAAAGACGATCTGACCTGGCCAGTGCACGACGAAAAGCCCAAGTTCTCTCCAGAGGAAGCTCGTCGAACAGCGCTGGGAGGGTTGACTTGCTCTGGCAACTCTGAGCCCTAAACCCTACAAGGAGGGCCCCCTCTTGTTAAAAGTAGAGTTGCAAGGACCATAAACTGGGTTATAAGGGTTCTAACTTAGGTTATCAACCCCTAAACTATAGTTAGTATAGAAAGGGGCCCCTCCCTTTTAAACCCTAAACCCTAAACCCCCCCCAAGACGCCCGGAAGACTTTAAACTCCCAGCATCTCCCGAGGACTTCGACACCTTCTACGGCATTGCGCAGCAAGTGGTGGATGCCATGGTGGAGGAGTACAAGGCTACTGTTCGCTTAAGGATTTAGGGTTTGGGGTTGAGGGTTTAGGGTTTAGGGTATAGGGTCCATCTGCTTAAGAACTCCCAAGAAATTCAAGACGAAAAGCCCTATATTGCCCTTATAATAAGGAGGATTTATTTGTAATTGTCCGTTTTAAATTTTCTTGGGTTCTTAAAGCAACTAGTACAAGGTGCCGATGATTCTGGACCAGGCGACCATCAGCAACACCAACCACATCGGGCACCAGCCACATTGTGAGCCTGGTCCAAAATATCCATATACCCCAAGAAGACGAAGAAGTGTCACTGGACCAGTCTGTATACACAAAAACTCAGTCCTTAATAGGGCCTATTCAGGACTGTTCGTATCAGGGGGAACATCCCTAAACCCTAAACCCTAAACCCCCAAACCCTAAACCCTCGGCTAGGCGGGTGGCAAAAAAAACCCTAAACCCTAAACCCTACAACCTAAACCCTAAGCCCTAGAATATGATAGAAGCCTTAGTTAAAGCCTGTGTTTTTTGAGCATGCAACTAGCCGGGGCCATGCCCGGAAGCCGAAAGCAACCGCCCTGAACTTTTTCAGGCCTCGCAGTGTTTGGGGTTTAGGGTTTAGGGTTTAGGGTTTAGGGTTTAGGGTTTAGGGTTTAGGGTTTAGGGTTTAGGGTTTAGGGTTTAGGGCGACTTCAGGTGCCAAGAGAGCTTGGAGCTTAGGACCTCACACTGCAATGACAAGCCTCTCCCCCGTTCCTAGGACAACGTGCGCTTCGACTCCGTCTGGTGGAAAGGCCAGCGCATACGCGGCGACGACGAGCTCGCAGCTGCTCGAGGCGAAGTAGGGTTCAGGGTTTAGGGTTTAGGGTTTAGGGTTTAGGGTTTAGGGTTTAGGGTTTAGGGTTTAGGGTTTAGGGTTTAGGGTTTAGGGGACTTAGGGTGTGCTTAGGCCCCCTGGTTCTCAGTAAGGAATGAGGGAATTTGGTCAAAGACACCCTTTAAGGGGTTATATTGGGCACCTAGTTCCCTCATTCCCTCCTAAGAACCAATATGAAGGGCTTCATCAGCCTTCTCTGGGCTAAGCACCTGTGGAAGGGAACTCCACTTGTCAACAGTTACCGAACTTTGCGGTGCGTCTGCCATGTCTGAGGTCCTTTATGTCGACGTTGTATGGTTCTCGTGATAGCTGTAGAAGTGTCTTTGCGCGGGCTGCAGATGATGCTCACTTTCCGCAAGGAGGGGGTTTAGGGTGAGTTTACCTTTTTTGGCCAGGACGGCTTTTGCTAGCCGTAACCTGCAGTTGGCTTATTCTGTGCAGGTGGGGCCTACGTTCTCTGGCGATCTGAGAAGACGTCGCACAGGAGAAGCTGGGGCGGGTTCAACCTGAATGTCGGTTACTGATGTCGGTTTAGGGTTTAGGGGTTTAGGTTTTAGGGTTAGGGTTTAGGGTTTTAGGGTTTTAGGGTTTTAGGGTTTTAGGGTTTTAGGGTTTTGGGGTTTTAGGGTTTTAGGGTTTTAGGGTTTTAGGGTTTATTCCCCAATTTCAAGTTGCAGGGGCGTCCGACCCATGACTCGGAGATGTTGTGACAGCATGAGAAGAGCCTCTGGCATGCGTGTCCAGGAGTTACAGCTGCTCTGTGGCCCTGTCAGATCCCAATGGCCGCTCCGCAGCAAGCCATGGCCAGCAGCTACATCCATTCCGGCCATCTTCCCTGAACTCCGATAGACGTACATACATGTATATGTATGGAAATATTGTAGACGAATTTTGAAAATATAAGCATTTATATATATATATATATACACACATAGAATTTGCTTATTGGTTTATCTATTTATTTGTTTATTTATAGATTTATTTGTTTGCTTTTTATGTATGTCTTGCTTGATCTTTTTGTTTATATCATGCAATATACCCAGGCTACGAAGGAGGCGAGATCCAGTTCTTCGACACCTGGGGGGCCAGGGACCCTGTTGCGACATACAAGTGCGCCAAGGGCTGTGGGATCGCGTTCTGTGGCTGCCAGCGGACACTCAGCCAAACATGCACGGCGTGTACTCCACCTTGGTGCAGTATGAAGCTACCCGAGGGTCCATGTACCTAAATAGTGTAGTAGCTTCAGGGCCTAAGTGGGGGGATGCTTGCTTGAGCATTGCATGCCCCTGCATACGAGGAACATCCATGCCGTGACGGGTGTCAAGAATGGCTTCCGTTTGGTCCTTCTGGTGTGGACGCGTCCTCCGGGCGTGCCTGTGCCAGACTCGCAGGCCCAATCGAGGAAGAACTTGATAGACGCTTGCGTCCGGATCATGAGCGAAGAGCCCACAAAAACCGGCTCCAAGCCCGTACCCTTGCACCTTCTCTCAGCCCAAAAAACACTAAACCCCAGACCCTACACCCCCTAAACCCTAAACCTTAAACCCTAAACCCTAAACCCCAGACCCTAAACCCTAAACCCTAGAATATCACCCCAAACCCCTCCTACCAGAGAGGCCCACGTCTGCTACTTCCGGCCCGGCACTGGCCGCGGCTGCTGGCTCCACAGCCTGGATGTCCATCGAGGCCTCGCCAGGCGTGCTGGCCGCCAGGAGGCCTGGCTTCCCCAGGAGGCCAGCAGAAGGGGGGGGATCAGTTTTTGGGTTTGTATAGGTGTTTAGGGTTTGTTGAGAGGGCTTGCAGGGTTGAGGGTTTATAGGGTTTAGGGTTGAGAGTTTAGGGCTTCTCCAGGAGGCCAGCAGGGGGGGCGTCATTTTTTGGGTTTAAGGGGCTTATAGTATTGAGCGAAGTCGGTTTGGGGTTATTTAGAGCTTGAAAGGGCTTGCAGGGTTGAGGGTTCATAGGGTTTAGGGTTTAGGGTTTAGGGTTTAGGGTTTAGGGTTTAGGGTTGAAGATTTAGGGTTTCGGGTTGAGAGTCTAACTCGGGTTGAGGGTTAAAGGTTTGGACCGACCCCTACATGGAGGCTGACGACGGGTGTCTTTGCGACGACTGCGCAGAGGAGCGAGCCAAAGTGTCCTGGAGTGCTCCTTGGCATCACTAATCTTGGCCCTAAACCCCTCTAAAAAAACCCCAAAACCCTCAACCCTATGTCCCTAAACCCTGGAACCCCACAAAAAAGAAATCCCGAAATTCCTCCGTGGGCCTTGTGTGGGCCCTCTCCATGGTTCCAGGGGGAAATCGGTTTGCGGCCTCACCCTCCACCTTTTCTCTGATGAAGTCTCCAGGCTTGAGTGCGAAGAGAAAGTTCTGTTTCGGGTGTAGTTTCTCGAGTTATGAGGCGATATGTTGGGAGGGGGGGCGGGGGTGGGGGGGGGGGGGCTGTTGAAGACTCCTCTGCCCCCTCCCCTCCCCTTTCCTGGGTCACTTCCGAGGATTGCCTGGGCGCATCTGCAGAAACCTCGGCCGCCAAGGCTGGGGGCTTGCCCTGTATGAGTTTTAGGGTTTACAGTAGGGTTTATAGGTTTAGGGTTTAGGGTCCTGTATCAGTTGCGGGAAGGGCCACTATCTTTTGCTGAGGGACTCTGCAACCCAAGCTTTAAAGCCCTAAACCCGAAAGCTATTCTGAACAAAACCTTTTATGTTGAACTGGAAGCAACAAAAACCCTTTGCAAGCCCTGAAATCCCCAAAGTAGACAGCCCTAAGCTCCAAATCGAAGCCCCATAACTCTACACCTAGACAAGCCCTCAAATCCCAAAAGTAGACAGCCCTCAGCTCCAAATCGAAGCCCCATAACCCTACACCTAGGCCACCCCCAGCACCAGCGCGGGCACCAGCCCACGGACTCCAGAGACGCCGGATTCCTCGGTGGGAGCCCGGGGGGGGGGTTGGGGGTTAGTTTAGGGTTTAGTTTTTAGGGTTTAGGGTTTAGGGTTTAGGGGTGCAGGGGTTTAGGGTTGAGATGTTGAGGGGTTTGAAGGGCAGCGGCTCGTCAAGAGTGATGATGTCGTCTGCTTCCGGGACCTGGTCTTTAGGATGTTGAGAGAAAGAGGGGTGTCTCATCGGGGGCTTAGAGTAATTTTCCCACTTATTTTTGGAAGCCCCCTGCGTGGATCTCAGAGTTGTCAGGTTTCGGGGTAAGGACATGCAAGACAGGTGCTACGATGATTTGTTTTTTTTTTTTTGGGGGGGGGGGGGGGGTTCTGCGTTCCTGTTTACAGAAAGCCGCTTAACCCGTGATGATGTACTGCGCTGGATGTGGGGGTTCACGAAACTAGGGGCCCCGACAAAGCCCCCGAACAGTAGGATTCCCTGATAGTAAGGACCTCAAGAAGATACCCCTAGTTTCAGAAACCCCGTATTATCCCCTACACCACAATAATTCCTATTAAGGTCAGTCTAGGGTTCCTGTCAAGCCACCCAGGTATCTTGCACGCTTTCCCCGACGAGTTCGTAACCCCACCTCACGCGGCTGAAAACTGTGAACCCTCTGCCATACGCCAACCGACGCGCCGAACCCTTAAATCCTTAAACCCTTAAAGCCCTTAAGACCCTTAAACTCCTAAACCTGCACTCTAATTACTAAAGCCGACATGTGTGTATACATATATCTATATGTATATATACATATATCCTCATATATATGAGGATATATATAGATATCTTATACATAAGAGACATAAGCCTCCGCAGGGCACGGAGGCGAGCAGCGTGGATTCTGGGACGGACCTCAGCCGGCGTCTTGCCTGCCCTTGGCGAAGGCCTACACAGGTTATGGTTGGGGCTTTGAGAAAAAGGCTCAAAAGCAAGGGCAGGGTTTTTTTCGCAACAAGCTCACCTAACAACACCCTGGTTAAACTATCAGACCCTAAAACCCGCTCTTACCCTAAAGCCCTCAACTCCCTAGACTCAGGCACTGCCCGTACCAGCAGCCCCACCGCTGGTGCCACCCGCATGGGCGCCGGGAGCTTCCCGAAGTCCTCAACGAAGACGACATGAGGAGACTGCAGCGGGGCCCTTGAGGGCTTAGGGCGGACAAGGGCGATGAGGGCTTCATAGGATTTAGAGTTGAGTTTAGGGCTTATAGGGCTTAGGGCTTAGGGCTTAGGGCTTCGAGTTTGGGGCTTTAAGGCTTCACCGGGCAAACTGCCATCCGGCAACAGGGAGTCTCGAAGCAGAGTCTTCCACAGGCAAATCTAGCTGGCTTCACGGACCTTGAAGAGGTGTAGGGTATTGCGGGTGTTAATGTTGGATTAATTAAGCGGTTGAAGGGGGCTCAAAGAGGGGTTGGGGGGTCGACTGGGTAAGGGCTTGAAAGGGTTTCGGGCTTATGCTAAAGTTTAGCTGCTAAAGGTACACAAGGCTTCAAGGTTTACGGGCTCGCGGGGGGGGGGGTCTAGGGCGATGGGCTTTTGGGTCTTTTCGGGCTCTTTGCATAATTTAGGAAGTTGAGCTTTGAGCCTGATGCTGAGTCCTTGAGTGCGCTCAGGGTTGCCTGACGGATGTTTGGTGCTTCTTCTTAAGATGAATCATGTTATTTGCAAATGAAGATCAAAAACAAAGGGTGTTGGTGCATAAGTGATATTCGAATGTTTTATGCGTCTTTCTGCTTGTGGTTTGTCAGGCCAGGAGGCCTGTCCAATTCAAGGGGTGCCCATGCAGCGCGCAGGATCCTGTACCAGATTTGGCAGAAGTCGCGAACTGAGGAAGGGTTTAGGGTTTAGGGTTTAGGGTTTAGGGTTTAGGGTTTAGGGTTTAGGGTTTAGGGTTTAGGGTTTAGGGTTTAGGGTTTAGGGTCTAGAAGTCGCGAACTGAGGAAGGGCTTGATACCTTTGCGGAGTTTGGAGCTAAGACGCTTCGGCGAAAGCGCGAATCCACCCTGTTCCAAAGCCTGGCCTTCCAAATCGGCAGCCCTCCTCCGCAATGCCTGCACTTGCACCATGAGAGTTAATCAAAAAGGACGAATTTGGGCTTGGGGTTTTGCTGCCTTGCTTTAAGTATCCCACTCGACATCCAGATCACCCTTCCTGCCTGTGCCAAACTACATGACTCAAGCTGCAGCAGCACGACGTCTAGAAGGCAAAGCTAGGAAAGCATTGTACATTCGTGCAGCCCCAGCATGTTTAGGCACCAAGATGATCTGACGCGTCCGTGGTACAGGAAGAAGCCGCCACTTTGCTGGATTGAGCAACCTGTGGGATACGAAGCAGTGCGAGACGGTGGGACTTATCGGTGACACTTTGCCCTACGTTCCGGCGGCCATACATTGACATAGAATGAGAGCACCCGGATTTGCAATGTGGACCAATAGTGCCACAAACCGGACATGCCGATGTTGATTTGGCTTGTGCGTTAAAAGGGCTGAAGCCACATCGATACCACCTCGAATTTGATACTGGTATGGTCCTCGTTGCATACCAACCCCCTCTATCTGACTCTATATTGCATGAACAGCTCGCAACAGCCTCTTCGAATCCCGGCGAAGTGCAAACCCAAAGCGAGAACCACAAGAATATAGGAAGCTAGGAGCATTTAGGAAGTCTGAATAACGACCGGCAGCTAGACACCAGGCGGAGCACATATCGAATGCCACTGTACAGACACGGCAGCATGAGACTTCAGGACCTACTCAGAGCAGGAGTTTGAGGACTTCAGCCGCATCGCACAGAAGGTGGTGGATGCCACCTGGTTGAGTTGTGAGAACGCCTGTTCTCGACCGAGCGCATGAGGTGTGGAGGGAATGAGGGGACTCTTCACTTTCAACCTAAAATTATAAGTTTTCGGCCGCCTTGCTGCAGGCGTTAGCTAGTGAAGGCGTGGCTGGACTCTTTATGTCCACAGGTTAAAGCTTAAGGGAAGGTGAAGGCCCAGAATGGAACAAATCCAGGCAGGCACTGCACCTGTTTCAGACTCGAGGATCCTCCTGTGGGTAGCTCTCTACATTAGGGTCCTTTTGTAGTTCCCCTACATAGTATGGCACCGTATAAGAAAGGACCCAGAACTACCCTTATGCACATCTCACAGTGCCTCATGGCCTCTAGAACTTATCCTTCAAGCATGCAGACCCCTTCTCCGAGGTTTAGGGTTTAGGGTTTAGGGTTTAGGGTTTGGGGTTTAGGGTTTAGGGTTTAGGGTCGATGTCATGTTTTTGCTTGTTCTTCAAGGCCATGGCCGTCCAGTTTGGCCAGCCATTGGTGCTTGACCAAGCCTCCGTGAACAGCACCAATCAGAAAGGCACGGGCTCTTCGGGGGTTTTCAGTATACTCACGGGCTCTTGGGGGTTTGTCTAGGGTTTAGGGTTCAGTGTATTGTCTAGTTTAGGGTTTCGCTCCTCGCTGCCGGTCCTTGGGTTGAACATGTAACAAAAATGCTAGCCGGAATTATGGGGCAAGTTGTAAGAGAGGCTTTTGCTGCCGCTTCGTCATGCACGTCCTGCACACTTCATGTTGAACAGGCCACCCGCCTCATGCCGACAATGTGCAGTTCGACTCTGCCTCCAGGCTGCAGTGGCCCAAAGGGTCCAGGTGCAGTAGTCTAACTGGAAAGAAATACTTGGTATTCTTGTGGGCTCTTGCTATATGGGTACATGGGCCCTTGTTTGGGGGATTGTCATCTTGTCATCTTGTGGGTTCATAAGTACCTACTGTATGGGTGCATGGACCCTTTTTGGGGGTTGGCTCTGGACTTGTCATGGGCAGAAGGGCAGTTCCATTTTCGTGCCGCCCGACGAAGCTGTAGAAATCTGCTGAAGCAAGGAAGGCCACAGGATGCTGTCTGTAATCATAACTTGATATCTGATGTTAAGGTTATATATATATATACATATATGGTAATATGACATGATGTCATATGCTTTTTGTTTGTTATATTCATAAGGCTATACTTATACTATGGTTTCAATGATGAGAGAAGATTTTTGGCCACCAAAAAAGAAGCTGCAGAAGGGAAGAGGGGTCCCCGAGGTTTGGTGGCAGGGCCAGCAGCTGAAGCAGCGCGACGAGGTGGAGGCCGTGCGCGGGGGCGCCCCGGTGCTGTGGAAGGCGTCGAAGACTGCCTACAGGACGGCGACACCCTTGCCGTTGTCGTAGTGGGGTACATTTTTAAGGGTACTTAAACTCAATAAGTCAATAAGGAATAGACAGAATAGAAATTTTCAAAAATACTACTATCCCAACCATCATCTAGTTGCCGCTTCAAAACGCAGGGGCTGAGTGGAGAATGCACTTGCGAATGCCAATCTTTGCAGGGTAAATGGAGCTTGGGTCGATTCGGGCCGACTTGATCCTCCTCAGCTTGAGGGCATCTGTGGTCTCCCTGTGATGCAGTCCCGGACGAGTAGGCTGCGAGCCAGAGGTCCTAAACCCAAAGTTTTTTAACCCTACACCCTAAATAGAATCCCTTAAGAGGTAATATGTACAGGGGGAATATGGGGTATACCCTACATAATCCCTTAAAGGGTATATACATATATATATATATATATGGGGATTATAGGGTACCCTATAGAAAAATCCCTATACGCAGAGTTCACCAGAGGCCCAAAAAGCCCCGCCAGAAAGCCGAAGGAATTACAGCGCCTCCATCGCGCTCACGGGACCGGAGGACTACGGCGGGGGCAGCCTGGAGTTCTTCGACACTTGGGGCGTCTCGGGCCTTTGCAGACGCTAAGGTTTAGGGTCTAGCGCCTAGGGCCTAGGGTTTAGGGTTTAGGGTTTAGGGTTTAGGGTTTAGGGTTTAGGGTTTATACATAATTTAGGGTTTTGGGCTTAGGATCTAGCAAATATAGGGTTTAGAGGTTGTGGGTTTAGGGTTTAGGTGCTATATAAGGTTCAGGATGAGAACTCCTGTCCTGTCAGGATAGGCCTCAAACCCCACAGCATCTGAGCCCACAAATGGGTGAGAAAATGCAGCACCCATAAGCCATTAAAACCCTGTCGCCTTTGAAACCCCATAAAAGGCCGAAAGGTATACATATCCTGCGAAAAGCCCTTTAAGCCCTATCATGTAGGAGCCAAAACCGAGTTCTACAGAGAAAACCGAGACGTCGCACCCATCAGGTGCGCCGACGCCAGCAGCATCAATGCGGTCAAAGGCGGGAAGCGGCGTCTTGGCCTAGTTGGCTGAGGGTGCTGATTATAATGGATGCCTGTAATCGACATATTTTTAAAAGCCAGTCATTGAAGTATGTTTTTTTTACCATTATTGCGTGCTATATTATGCTGGAGTACTTATACACTGTCCACACTGTACACAACATGAAGCCTTGCCACAGCCAGCTCAAGTTGCGACCTATGTAGGGTTCGGTCCTGACTGGGGCCTGCGGATACACCAGCCCGCTGCAAAGGTTACTCCATACCAAGTCGGAAGAGAAGAGACCAACACAAAACAGTTATCACAAGGCTTCTCAAGGAGCACGAGGCATCTTTAGGACTTGCACTTCCCTGCACGGAAGGAATGAGAAGGAATGAGAGGGAGCCAGAGAGAGGGTGAGTTAGAGGGAGAGGGCGAAGGAGAAGCCTTAAGGAGCAAAAGGAGGGACCCCTAGAAGGGGCCTTTAATCTTATTCTCTCATATAATTAGAAACCCTATATATACCTTATATAGTCCCTATATAATCACTTTAGCCCTTAAGGTCCCTTGTAAAAGGTCCCTTGAAAGCCGACGCTGCAAGTAAGGCGTGGCTTTCTGCGGCTGCCAGCACAGCATCCATGCCGTTACCGGCGTGCGCTGGGGCTTCAGGCTTGTCCTCGTGGTGTGGACCCGGCATCCGAACGCGCACATCCCGGAGGATCAGATGCATGTGTGCTACTTTCGACCCGGCTCTGGCCTCAGTATATGGCTGACCGCTGCAGACCTACGGAGCTATCCGAAACGACGCCGGAAAGAGGCCCTTTGTGGCCAAGAGGAGTCAGGAGACCAGAAGAGTCCTGAAACAGCTGCAAAGCCCACTGAGGAAGCTGAGGTGGCTGGCAGCTCTAAGTACTCCGGAGGCTGGTCCTGCGCAAACTGAGACGTCAGAGGCCGCCCACAGGTGGTCGTTGTGCATCCACCCATGAGGTCACCCCACAACTTTTTATAGTTTTGGCCCCTGGCTTTCTGGCACAGCTGCAGAGACCTTCCTGCCGTGAGCGTCTCCATCTCTGGCAGTGGCAGAGGATGAAGATAGGCATGGAAGATGCCCCTATAGCCGATGATACTGAGATGGGCTGTCCAGTGGTGGGTGTGTTTCATCCGCAGAGTCGCCTCGTTGGTGCAACGCTTCGATGTCCTGAGCTTTGCAGCCAGCTCGTGTCCAGTTGCGGTGAAGAAGCGCCACTGCATCTCCCCCTTCCCTCCCCATAAGCCCTGCTCTTGCAAGACTAGCCGCTATCAGTTGTCCTAAAGCGTACCTACCGCGATGCGCATCGCCTTCCATAGTGACCATGCCCGCATCCCAGCTAGTGACTTAGAATTCGCGTATGCCTGCAGGGTTGGGCTCGGCTTCAAACTCCAGGGAACCATTCTACAGCACCTTGGGGGCTTCTTGGTGTGCTGGGTGGGCATCATGGATTCATAGGGCGGTGTTTAGCGCCACTGGATGTTCAGCGGGCAATTTATTAGCTCAGCTTGTTCTATGTAGGCATTCGTTCCAAGGGAACCTGTTGGTGGGGACTACAGTAGTGTTTCGGAACCCCCATGGATGCCCAGGTTTAGGGTTTAGAGGGTTAAGGGTTAAGGGTTTAGAGGGTTTAGGGTTCAGGGTTTATAGGGTTTAGGGATTGCAGTGCGTTCCTCATTGCCAGGAACTTTTTTGCAGGAGGCCCCATGAGCCCTGAATGCACTACGTATCTGTAGCTGAGCGATTTTCCAACCTAAGAAGCATATTCTTCTTGATAATGCTCTTGAGGGCACTGCTACTTAAAAGCTGGGAGGCTCTCTCCCCGGTGTATGTGAGGCTAGATGAGCCCCAGATGCTGCACAAGCCTCATATCGACGTGTGACACCCTGGCTCCAGCAATTCGGGGGCGGATCAGGATCTTTAGTGGCCAACGCCCCAAACCCTAAAAACCCTAAACCCTAAAAGCATCTTGAAATCGATGAGCCGAGAAAGAGCGTGGTACTCCGAAGTAGAGCAAACTTGGAAAAGCCGTAGACATAGCAGCAAGGGGCTGGGAGTCCGCGTCGTATAGTGCACCTTTCTTGGCACGGCTTTTTGGGCCGCCATGGATCCTGCTGCGATGGAAGAATTCCGCAAGCTGGACCAGGCGAAGTGTCCAGCACAGCTCGACCCTAGTTCAATGGGCGACATCATGTAACAGGATTCCCTTGCAAAGGATTCGGGGCTGCGCAGCACATGAGGCCCTCACTAGCAGTCACTAGCAGCCGGAAGACCTGCAGGAAAAGAATCGCCTCGAAGCGGAGATCAAGACTCTGTACGAGTACCTCACAGAAGATGGCCACATGGCAGAAATTTGGAGCTACCATGGGCCAGAGAGGCGCGTCTGCATGATCTCACTACCTGTCGTGGAGATGGCATTCCCAGTTGAGAAGGTGTAGCATTCCAATTAGGTAGCTAGCTTACATCCCTCTCTAACCCTTCAAGGGACTGTGTACACAGTTTCCGAATACCCGACAAACAGAACTTAAGTTCAGACTCTGCGAAGGTATGCCAGGGATCTCAGGGCCTCTCGTGGATGACGAGGGCTTTCCCAGAGGCGACATCGACCTGTATGCTGTTCGTCAGGCGCGGAACAAGCCGCCCGGCGGATTTGGGTCCATGCTCTTCGGTTTCGTGCTTTGTTTGAACTAGGGCCCTCTTATACAAAAGGGTCCTTCCTTGCACAAGTTGCCGATAGAAGGTGCCCCTAATGTTCTGCACATAGCCATGGCAAGCTGCGGAGTGCCTTTGCGGTAAGTGCAGCTCGGTGTCGAGGAGCGTTCCGGTCCTTGGGGCTAAGGTACGTGTGCGCACAGACCGACCACATCGAAGTGATGAAGAAGATCGAACAGGCACGGTTGCTACACAGCCAGAGGGTTCAGGGTTTAGGGTTTAGGGTTTAGGGTTAGGGTTTAGGGTTTAGGGTTTAGGGTTTAGGGTTTAGGGTTTAGGGTTTAGGGTTTAGGGTTTAGGGTTTAGGGTTTAGGGTTTAGGGTTTAGGGTTTAGGGTTTAGGGTTTAGGGTTTAGGGTTTAGGTAGCAAAGCACTGGGCGCGTGCCGTGGCCACATGACGACTGAGACACCACAGGAGTCGGTGTAGATGCCTTAGTTGCAGTCACCAGCCATAGTTTTGATGAGTTGCAGCTTGCAACCATCATGTAGCCCAGTCAACCATCGAGTCGCAGGCCATCACTGCGCTGCACGCTGGTGCGAAGGCGATGTTCGAAGGATTCAACGCTTGTTTCCGAAGGATCGTTCAAGCCAGCCGTGCTTGGTTGTATCAACAGGTCACGTAAGCCGTAAGCAAAACATTTTCCAGCACAGGTTTCATATATACATATATATATATACACATATCTAGTTATATACATACATATGTATACACATGTACACACACACATATATATATATATATGTATATACATATTTATTTATATACGTAGAAGACCTATTTATTGCTAGAAGTGTAGGTGTGAAGTTGGTTGCTCTGACTCTGGAGGTGCACGTCCCGCGGTCAGCGCCGGCCGCGCCGACCGAAGGGCCTCCCGAAGACGAGCCCATGGGGGAGAACCAGAGCCCTGCCCCAGAGACAAAAGGGGGTTTAGGGTGTAGGGTTTAGGGTGGAGAACCAGAGCCCTGCCACAGAGTTATACAGTATGGGTAGTTCTGTAGATTAGGGTCCCTGTTCTGGGGATCCCCTACAAAGCACGGCACCTTATGTCAAGGAAGGCAACAATCACAGATAGCATGCAAGAATAGTTTTATTTCACTCTCACTCTATATTTGTGTGTTCGAAGACTTTTCTTTAATCGTGTTGACTCATCATTCCATAAAGCCAAGGGTACGTATGTATTTTAGTCACATATGCAGGGAAGATATGCTACACGAGTTGCGCATGTACTTTCTAGTAGGAATGTGTTTCTCCATAGGAGGTCGCGTGCTCATCTCTTGCTCTTCCCAGCTGCGATCCGAGGAATGTCCTGGTCCAGGTGAAGCTGGCCGCTCCCTTTGTGCTTTGGTTGCATGTAGGCGTCAACCGGGGCTGGGACACGTGCACAGAGGTTCCTAGCTTCTCTGTGGGTGTTCCGTTCCTGGTTGGTGATAGCGGCAATCGTCGAAGGCCGAGATCGACGAAGTGAGCGCAGGATCTCCCGCGGAGGCCTTGCAGCAAGCGACTGTTCGACTTTCACAGGGTCACAGACGCCGTTCCCAGAAGCAAACTTGTTGTGGGTGCACTTCAGGGCAGCCACTGTGTTCAGCAAGATGCCCCGCAATGGAATCTGCGTGGTCCCCCTTCGACCTTCGAATGCACAGGCTGCCGGCCTGCGCGTGGGCGATTTGGTCTGTCGCTTTGGAACGGTGAACCTGCAGGCACCCCTTGCCAGAAGAGTCGATTGACCCATGTGTAGGAGGTACCAGTACCATCTTTTCATACAGCATATACAGAGAGTATATAGATACTTCTAAACACGCGAGGGAGGCCCCAAGAAATTTCTTATAAGTCTACCTGCACCCTATATTCGGCTTCGGCTGTTGCACCCATGCAGCTTTCCTCGATGCTCGTAGTTGTGGTAAGCTTGTTCCACGCGTTGCAGGACACTGGGGACTTGAACGCCTGCTTCAACGCCATCAGCAGCTCGATGAGCAAAGATTGCTTTAGGACGGTCAGGTACCCACGGAAGAGATGTAAACATGGCGACGTCAAGCTGACCCACGTCGCTGCTTGCTCCTGCTAGAATGCATGGATTCAGCCAACCTAAAGAATGCTCCAGATCCTCCACAAACCCTAACAATAAGATTCATCCACACTTACTAAGTATAGTCCAGAAACTAGACGCGCCCATGCCCCACAAGGGTCCATGAACCCTTCTAGGAGGTAGAAAACCTTTGGGCACCTTCTTGACCTGACATTGCCTGCGGCCTTGAGGAGATTTGGTGCCCCGGAGCGCTGGCACCACCATCCCAGTGACGGTCCTCAGCGGCTCGGCGACTGAACGCCAGCCTTTGAACAGCGGAGTAGGAGCCGGAAAGAACGATGGATCAGATGAAGCCTTTTTTTTGAAAGTAGGCCTTGGGGCTTGATACTTCATGGGCAGGCCAACGCTCCTCTGCCCCCCAATCCGAAACCTTTCCTCCAGGGGGCGAGTCGCCGGCGCGTGTTGAGCTCCAGCTGACGCCGCAGCAGCCCGGTTGCAAAGGGCCACAGCACACGCGCTTCGTGCCGATTGGTGGCCGCAAGACAGGCGTAATTTCCCTGCCTTCCGAACGAAGCCCTACAGTTCACATATAGAATATCACAGAATCGAATCGGATATGCAAAAAGCTCCCCTTTGAAGTTTTCCAGGCAGTGGGCGGGGCGCGGCCTGCTCGGACGCTGCAGCGGCAGTTGTTGTGGGAAGGAGGTTGTTGGAATTCTAAAGTTTCAAGGGCTTTATGTTGGAGCCTCCAGGTCTTGTGGAGTATGCCTGAAGTTAGCGTAAGGCTTGAGTTCTCGCAGTACTCTAGCCACGCGTGTGCATGTGTAATATGTGTATATATATACATATATACACACACTTTTATACACATATAGCTGGAATGCTTAGTAAGGCTCACTGTATATGTATGCATGTATGTAATGCAAGGCAATGCAATGTAATGCAATGCAATGTAATTTAATGTAATGTAATGTATGTATGTATGTAAACAGATATGTTATCTAGATGTTAAGGGATGATGAGAAGGGGGATAGGGGCGCAGTCGCATCTGTCAGGATGCCACATGAACCCCAAGCCGTGAGGGCGGATCGGGGGCCAGAAGTGCCTCCCAAAAGAGATTCTGGTTCTGGTTTAGGATTGAGGATTAGGGTTTACATAGATAAGTTTCGGGTTTCAATATAAGGGCCTCTGGAATGCTAATTGTTTTGGGGTTGTGCAGCTTACATGTCAGATTATGCAGGATGATTATCTATAAGGCAATGGTCAGTAGTTAGGCTCCAGTATCATTTGAGTTTTAGATGGCAGCTCTTCTCTTGCAGTGTTCAGCAGCTTCGCTGCGCGCAGCAAGATGCTTCGCCTGAAGCTGCATGCTTCGGAAGGGTGCTGCCTCGGCGTGCTCACGCTGTTTCTGCGCAAGTTCGCCCCCTGCACAGGAAGCGACTCTGAGGCACAGCGTTGGCAAGCGCCAGTGGAGATGTCGTCACAGCTCCAGGCTTTCCACCTCTGTACCACATAAACCTTATAAGCCCTTAAACCCCTAACATTAGTTAGTTGTTCAGAGTCGGGGGCCTGCGGTTGAATGGTCACAAGGTGTTGTGATCCACAAACTCGGGCGGGCAGCCGCCGTACAGCTGTGCCGCCTTTGAAAACAGTTGAGCTCAATCGTGTTGCTATATATATATATATGTATATGTATTTGTTTTTGTTCATTTATTATTTGTTTTGGCTCTGCAATTAAATGGAAGTTCTTATGCAGCCAGCCACCCACTCATGCAAGCTGAACAAACCTAGATATACATGCTAAGCGGAAACCGTGCTGTGCCAGAAATGGTAGCGCCTGACGGGCGGATCCCGGAAGAGGCCTTCCTGTAGCTGAAGCCAACGCATATGGGAGGACGTATGTTGCCCGTAGACTGTGCAAACCCCAAACAATCCAGGTATACTCTTATGGGGACTACAAGTGTGGGTAGTTTGCGTACCTACTATATGGGTCCCTGGGCCCTTTGGGCACACGGCTTTCAGAGCAGCCATCGTCATGATGATACTGTTTGTTGCCCGAGGCCCGGCCAGGCCCCACACACCCCGGAGTTGGGCTTCGCACCGGCCTAAGCCCGCCAAAGAGTTTTCACCTTGGCGGTGGGGTAGAAGGGGGGAGGGGGGGGGGGTAAGGTTACTCGAACATGTGTGGGAAGTTGCAATTTAGGGCGAGCTATAGCAGGGTATGGCCATATAGTCTCATAAGCCCTAGGCTGCGTGAAGGCAGTCGATGTTGGAACTGCCGAGTTGCCCTCTTGAGTCGCTTCTCCCTGCCGTGACGCTTCCCTCACTCTTGCGGCCCAGGGCTGCTCGGGGCTGCACACGCCTTTCGGGCTCTACGCGGGGCAGGCCGGCCATCTCCCAACACGACCGAAGCCCCGAAGCCTCCTGATGGGGAATGACGTGGGGCAAATGGAGGTTGAGGTGGAGAGGCTAAGGTTCCCTGCCCCTAAAAACGAAGAGCTGGGCCCAAAGTTGCTGAGGTTTTGCAACCAAGGTTTCTGGTTCAGGCTTTGGGGTTGTATAGGGCTTTATAAAGCTTTATAGGGCTTTATAGTGCTTGCAGGGCTTAAAGGGCTTTTAGGGCTTTAGAGGGCCTTTAGAGGGCTTTCTTAAGGGTTTTTAAGCCCGAAAAATGCCACGATGGGCAGGCAAAGGCTGGTGGCACCAGGGAGGCCCTGAGCAAGTGGCTGCCCTGGTGAGAGCGGAGCGGCACACGCGGCCGCCCCCGCTGAGCGGGGGATTCAATTCGTTTAGGGTTCAGGGTTTAGGGTTTAGGGTTCAGGGTTCAGAGTTTAGGGTTTCGCTGGGCCAGGTCTCGAACTCCACGGGCTTCCATCCACCCTTGTACCCAAAAGTTCCCCCAAAATGTGGGTTTAAGATGGTTTAAGTACTTCCTGTATGAGGGTATAATATGGTCCATCCCGCTCATACACAAAAGCGTCCCCCAAACAAAAATGTGGGCTTTAAGTCCATCCTATATGAGCGTATATGGACCCTGTGGCCTTTTTGGAGGATTTCAGGCCTGAGCTTTCAGACGACTTTAAGAGCCCTTGGTGGGTGTGTCTCTGCCAAGGATTGTGCATGGCTTATTGCACCTCTCGGGCGAGGCTAAGCTTCGTCTGAGAGGTGCCTTTAGTAGCTCCATGACAAAAGCAAGCCAGGAACTCTTCGTTGAAGCGCGAGGGCATGAGGCACAGTGGCGGAGCGGAACACGGCTCGCAAGGGCGTCTTGGTACTTGTATGGTTCGAAGTTCGTGGCTGAAGACGTGCAGAACTTGCGGGGAGACGGCCGGTACAGAGACCACCCGCAAGTTTTTCCAGATCTCGAGTAGAGCGCGCTATCAGGTCCAGACACAGTTGCTCTGACTCGAGGGTCGGCAAAAAGAAGCTATGGGACACCACTGCGAAACTTCGGATACAAGGGGGTTTATAGGGCTTAGGGAAACAGATGTGGCCCTAGCAGGAATATCAATCCGCAAAGGGCTTCTTTGTTTCGGGGTCTGAAGTCGGCCAAGCGGCTCCTCACGTCCTAAATCCCAAATTCTATGAGGACCAGAATCTTGCCGGAAGCTATTTTCGCAGATGGGCACTGAATTATGGCAGTTCCCCACATGACACGTTCTACCCTGCAGCACGCTTCGCCCAGCTATGCAGGAGCGAACACTGAAATAAACCCCAAACTTTAAGCTGAGTGGTCCTGAGACTGGATTGCCACCTCCGAGATGTGACAGGCCTGCGGCGGCGGTGCGAGGCCCCAGGAAGGCCCAAGCCGCTGTTAGCAATCGTTTCATTTTCTTTCGCCGGGTAATTGCAGGGCATAGACTTCAGACACTTACTTGTAGTATCCTTTCTAATCTGGCATGCCCCGCCAATTTCACAATCAGCATTCGATTGCCGGTTGCTGCGCAGGCGCTGCAGCAGCACGAACAACATACGCCAGTGCGGCCGGGTCTCCTTGCGTTGCAGAGACGTTGGGATAGAGGGGCGTGTGTCGAAGTTCGAGTTTTCGTGCAGCTCACTCGCGGCAGGCCGAGAAATTACGTGAAGGAGTCTGTGGCAAAGGCGGGCCATTGCAAACAGCTCTTAGCCTTGTCGAGCTGTTTGTGTTGCTGTTTTGCTGCTCCTGATCCTAAAGGCATCCGCTGTGTGTGCCTAGATCCCTAAGGGTCCATGTACTCGGGTCGCAGGCACGATGACAGCCTTGGAGTTCGAGTATTTGGCTGTGCCCCTTCCTCAGCCCATGGCGGTTGGAACATCTTCAAAGTCGGCACGGAGCATGCGATGCTACATCTGCAGAGGTTCCGACATTTCAGACATTCCAAAACGACAATACTTGTGAAACTAGTTGCCAGGCATACTCCTGCACTTTGCTACGTACGTAGGCTGCGACCATAGGCGAGAGCTTGGCTTGGACTTAGCTATGGCGCAGAAGGCAGGTGACTGTTGAGTTCTTTGCAGGCCTTGGTCGTGTTGTGGGGCGTGCTGGTAGCGAGGATTTGGGACTAAGTCCGCTGTTGCTGGTATGTCTTTGCTGTATAACGCTGTTAATCATGTCCATTGCTTCTGCCCAACGGCTTTCCAGGCTAACGTGCCCAGACTTCAGCTCACATTTGTCTATACATTGGTCTAACATTACATGCACGCTCGCACACAACACACATTGGGCACCGAATGCAACAAAAGCGGAATGAAGGCAGCAAGGGGTTTCATCGGAAACTTCATGCTGCACCAGCTGTGCCGACCGTGCATATCTCTTTTTCGCATCTTTAATTGCTGGGCCTTCATTAAACGGTCCCCTCCACCCCCATATCTGACCCCTGATGTTAAAGGGCATTAAAAGTAATTGCTGCTTGCTTGTTAAGGAAACAAGAAAGGACGAAACCCCCCCCCAAAAAAAAATGAATTGAAAATTTAACTCGGGAGGGAAGGGAGTGGGAGGCTTGAAGGCTTGTTGAGGGATGGGAAGAAAATGTTTCTACCCCGAAACTTATGCTTACAGACGATCCTGTCCGTACCCCTTGCACGGGACTGTGACTGGGTCCTGAATCTACCGACAATACGGTGGCTGTGTCCTGGCCAACACATCACGCCTGACCGTCCGTTGCGCAATCACTACCCCTACAACAACGATGTACGGGGCAACTGCGCCTGGTTGTCGTAACGTGTTGTGTCCACGGCTCGATTCACAGCATATTGTGTATCTAGCTCATGCGTTTCCGGCCCAAGTCCGGTCCAGTTTCGAATTGGATCCTGCAACAAGATAGCGATCTTGTCAAGGACGCGCTCCAGCAGGTATCTGGCTCTGCGTTTCCCCTTCCCTCAACACGGGTCATGCGATCCTTCGAGCACCTTCGACGTGCCTGGAGCCAAGTCCTCTCTACTAGTGCTGCTCACAGGCTGGACAGGCACCGGACAATCAGCACGACTGCCTCTGCACCTATGTGGGTCTATTGCTTGCAAGGCATTGGTGCGCGGGATGTGTTTGCACGAGCCCTGCGCTACCATGCCTCCAGCCCATTCAACGGGGTCTGCTGGGATGCTCGTGTTCAGAAGTTTGCTTCGAAGGTCAGCTTCCAAGGCGTGACCCACCATGCTGGCCATTTCAGGTGTGAGATAGAGGCGGCGCATGCTTATGATGAACGGCTAAGGCACCTGTGCCAAGACGGGGCTCGGCTAAAGAGATCCCTGAACTTCCCGTCTTTTGCAGAAGTTACATTCACAGAATCTCCAGAAGAAGCCCGTGCTCGAGCGCTGGCCAAGGGTTCCACGAATGCGAAGGAGGAGGAGTCTTTTCGCCGTCTTTACCATCGATTCTCGGTTGTTCCTCAGGCAACAACGCATGAAATAGTTCGCGTCTCCGACTCATCCAAAGTAGATGCCCTCTTCCAACCTAAAGGTTCCGAGCATGGAGGGCTTCCGCTCCAGCTCAAAGCTGCCAGTCTGTCGGGCAACTGCCGACAATCTTACAGCTTCCAACGCACGAAGGGATACCATGGCATGCTTCTACTTTTTATCGCCCTTGACCGTGACTTCTTCTGGGCAATGCCAGGGACATCTGTGGCACTAACGGCATTCACCATTCGCCTCGGCTCAGACAGAGATGAAACATTGCGCGTGAATGACCTCGGCTCAACTTTGGATTCGTGCTATGGACAACAGCAAGAGTTTCCGCATGTGTCGCTCAGGAACGCCCGGCTCCAGTGCGGTAAATGCCACTTGGTGGAAGAACGAGCCCATCTGCAAATGAGCGATGTACTTGGGGGTGTTGGGTACCAGCTCAAGAGGGCCTTCTCAGGGACTGCGGTTGATTCGCTGCTTGTCGGAGATGGTGGTGTGTTGCGCGTCCAAGAGAAGGCCTCAACACTTCATCAGCCGAGAGGTACCTACCGTGTCAGCCTTTGCAGGACGGCAGGAGCCTTGGGAACATTGGCGTATTCTGAATTTGATTTCGACATCTTGCTGGTTGCAATACTGGAGAATGAGCAAGTAGTCGGCATCTTCGTTTTTGCCAGTGATGTTTTGGCACAGCATGGACTCATCGGAGGGAAGCCAAGTGTCCTACCACTCTGGCCAGCCTGGAGGCTGCCAAAACGCCAGGCGTACAGGGTTCGGAGCGCTTGGCAGTTGGAGCACTTTGTGGACCTGCGTGGCTGGAGCGGACAGGCCGCGCTTCCAGACGAAGTGCGCAGGCGACTCGCCCAATTGCTGCAGCCACATTTCCAAAAAGGGACTGCGCCCTGAGTCGCAGGCAGAATGCCACCCTGCACCCCTATGAGAACCCTATAAACCCTGGACCCTATAAACCCTGCAATGGCCCAAGAAGGCATCCCGAATGCCCTAATTGGACCGCTTACCAAGATCATGTCATGGCTACCTGCAAACTGCGATTTCCCAAAGGGTCCATCGACCCATATGGCAGGTACTTGAGAAGCCACAAAAAAGGTTCCCCCGAGCACCTATAAGCCTACAAGAGTAGCTGAGCGTTTGGGGTCTAGGGTTTGGATGTGGATCCGAAGTCTGAGAACCCAATGAGTGGAAACACCAGAAGTCGACAGGTCTACACCCTTTGCGTAGACAGCGGCGACGCCATGCACCTGGAGTTGATCTGTCACCTGCAGAATGAGGGGTTTAGGGTTCAGGGTTTATAGGGTTTAGGGGAGGACGAGCGTATGATGTAGCAGTTGAAATTAGCATCGTCTGAAGAGGTAGGAAGCTGGTACCTTCGTACTTTGCCAGCGCGATGTCCACGATTCCGGTCTCGAAGAGTTGCGTTCCGCCATGCTCCGCCTCAGTTTGGGTTCAAGCCGACAGCTGGCCGTTCAGGGAACACCATTGTAGATCCACGCCGGCTTCCGAAACAAGGCATGGCCGGGGTTCTTGTGCAAGAGCCATGGAATCAAGAGATGCTGGAAAAGCCAGTCCTGGGGTCCTAAACCCTAAACCCTAAACCCCTAAACCCTAAACCCTAAGGAGTCCTTCGAGCACACAAGTGCAGCATGCAGCATGTCCATGTTGGCAGGTCATCATGTCGTCTGCCGGTGGACAGAGGCCTCCTGCCAACCGCATGACGCTCCAGCCGCTTGGTTCCACTAGCAGCGCAGTTTAGGGTTTTGGGTTGGGGGTTAGGGTTTATGATTGTAGGGTTTAGGGTTTAGGGTTTAGGAGTCTAGGAGGAATTGGGGTTGAGGTAGGCCGGTCAGATATCGTGCTGTTCCAGCTGAGGACCTTCAAGGCACGTTTGGGCGGAGCCACGAAAGGTGGGACACCCGTGGATGCACCATGAGATGCCTGAGTCTGAAGATAACCTGGGACCCTCTTTACGTACAGTTTCATGGGTTATACCTAGTTAAGGGTAGTTACGAGTAAGCTGTAGGTAAATAGGGTCCCAGGAAGATCTCCTTACACCTTTGAGAATGACAGCCAATAGTCCAAGTCTGTAGCAGAAGCTCAAGAACCTTCGGAGGCTTCAAGCTGCTCAAGAAGAAGCGGGATGCCCTCAAGGCCAAGTTTCAGGCAGCTTGCCCGAAAGGCAACTAAGTTCTTGCAAGTCTGGGTGCTAGAGGCAAGACTGACGACAGACTGCATGATGCCACCGAATGCCTTCGGCATGTGAATTTGCATGCATGGACTGATGGCCTCTAGCTCTAGCTCTAGCGCCACTCGTAGATGGCAATTGCTTAATTAGTTGGTATATACTGACTGCACTCATCTTCTGCTTGTTTGGTGCCTCGCTGTGGTGGGACGCTTCCAACCTAAGGCACTTCTCAAGGACCCGGCTTGCTATGCCATTCTCACAATCTGCTTTGTCAATCTACAGCGTCCTACGTAATTACTCCTGTGCGCGCCTGCCTCTGCCATCCCATGGCAGCTCCCGGCTGCAACTCTTTCAGCCCAAAACCCTCAACATCCCTCAACCCTAAACCCCTAAACCCCAAACCCGAAACCAATACCAGTGGCTCAGATATCACAGACAGCGCCGAGTAAACCCATGCCACCTCCATAACCCCAGACTCCTGAACCCTAAGCCCCAAAACAAGACCCCAAACCCTAAGTCCTAATTAATTCCTAGACCCTAAGCCCTACACCCTAACACCCTAAACCCAAAGCCCTAAACCCTAAACCCTTAAACTCCTTACCGGGCGGCAGGAGATCGTAGACACCAAGCTACAGGTCGGCCAGAGCCTCAAGGACCCCAGTTTTTGGTGAATTACTCCTGCGGTTTTGGAGTACTGTACTTTGTGTAGGGTTTAGGGTTTAGAGTTTAAGGTTTAGGGTTTAGGGTTTCGGGTTTAGGGTTTAGGGTTTTGGAGTACTATACTCTCGTACGTCCTTTTTGGTTCTGGTTCCTTTTATAGCTACTTGTACCTAAGAAGTCAAATACTTTGTTTCTGCAGGGTATACTCCAACGTAGGGTTACAGCGTCCTCGGAGCGACCATGACGTCAAAATAGGGTTGGTGGGGTTTAGGGGCTGGGATTTAGAGATTTAGTTTCAAAAGTGTAGGTTTTCGGGTTATTAGGGTTTTGGGCTTAGGAAGCCTTAAAGCCCTAGGCCTAAACGCCAAGCATACCCAACACTCTGACTCCTGAGCCCAGCGCTGGTGTGGGCAGCCGAGCATAGCAACAATGAACACCTCGTCGTGCCTTCAAGTGGCCGCAGACTGGTTAGCCTCACGTCATCTGCATGTGGGTTTAATTGCGAAATAGGGGACCCCCAAAAACATAGATCCCCAAACAGTAGGATTCCCTTATCATGCGGACCCCAACAAGGTACCCCAAATTTCGGAACCCCCGTGTGCCTTGCAGGACGGCGCCTTCGCATTGGCAAAGGCGCACTGCGTTGAGGAGGTTTAGTGGAGTTAGGGTTTAGGGTTTAGGGCTTTGGGCTTTGGGCTTAGGGCTTAGGGCTTAGGGCTTAGGGTTTAATTAGGGGCAGTCAGCAAGTCCAGCTTCAAAAAAAGGGTTTAGCGCAAAACCACCAGCCTCTTCAGCACCGAGATGCTAACGCCTATAGACTGCTGGCCTGGTCAGGCACACTACGCCAGCTCTGGAGACGACATCGCCTCGACCGTCATCGAGAGGGTTCGCCTCAGTCATGCTTACGGTGTAGGGTTTAGGGTTTAGGGTTAGGGTTTAGGGTCCCAACACCCAGAAAGGGTCCAGGCACTTGCAGAATGAATGCTTGGGGCCTCCCGTTGAGGTTTAACATGGACCTTAGGGGGCGATAGTTGGCAAGATCACAGCATCTTGATGCTGGTTTTCGTGGTGTGGCGATTCGTATCTTGCACGTTCGCTTGTGTTGCCACATACCAGGATGGGCCACTAAATCGGCCTTATAATCTCCAAACTCAACCCTATGAAGGGCCATTTTAAGGATAATAGCCCATCCTGATGGTATTGTGCTGATTGCAGGCGAAGAAGCCAAGCTTGACGACGAAGCTGTACCCAGATAACGTTGCGGGCGTCAGGGCCTCTAAAGTCTCTTAAGCCCTACATGCCACGCTTTTATGTCCCGGAGGGTCCATTTGTAGTACTATTCTGGAATTATAAGGCTTATAAGGTACCCAAACCCATACTAAGCAGGGTGTTGGAGTTTTGGGGTACCTAATTCCAGAATAGTACTAGAAATGGACCCTCTGGGTATTGTCTCTTCCATGACCAGAAGTAAGCAGTGTGTGACGGGGTGGAGTTGAGGTCTCGATTCCTGTGTTCAAGATGAACCACGACACCTCTCAGGACAGCTCGGTGTCTCGGCGCTCTGCTTAGGGTTTAGGGTTTAGGGTTTAGGGTAAGGTTTTGGGGTTTAGGGTTTAGGGGTTAGGGTCTCTCTCTCTCTCTCTCTTTCTCTCTCTTTGTGACTTTTTGGACCCTAATTAAGAGAAACCGTCAATTGAACACCCCAAGCCCAATATACTGTAGATGACTACCGAGGCCTCAAGCCCCAAACCTCCACCCCAAAAGAAGTTGTAAGCAGTACCTCTCAGGCACCCCATGTGACTGCTGGTTAGCATGGAATGAGGGAATTAGGGCCTTATATAATTATACCTTTAAAGGATTATTTAGGGTACCTCATTCCCATTCCCAACTAACCAACAGTAAGCCACGGCATGTTGCGGCATCGACTCGCAAGGTCCAGACCATGGGGGTTGGAGCTGGCGGAGCAGTCCTGAACGCCACGCGCGAAACCTACGTGACAGCAGTGCCGCCTGGCTTCTTTACACAAGTCGTTCTTCTCATTCTTCATACGAGAGTATCCTCAGCAAGCCTTGAATGGAGGTTCCCATTACTATCATGATATATATATATATATATATACACGTACATATATATATATATGTATATATATATATATATATATATATATTTTGGGGGTTCAGAGTCTGAGTGACAGGTAACCCTTTTGCCTCCGCAGCTAGTCGCGCTGTGTAGTTGTTGAGCTTGTGACCCTTCAGAGCTCTGATTCTGCAGTGTGAGCTGTCCAGCGAAGTAAGCTCTCACCGACCCCCTTGGGAATTAGTTTTCTATTTTTGTTTATATGAAACCCAAAAGGATATTAAACATACCATTTCTAAAAATACTGTTCTTATTAAGCATCTAAGGGGAGTATAGGCTCTCACTCCAACCCTAAACCCTAAACCCTAAACCCTAAACCCTAAACCCTAAACTGCCTGCAGGGAGTGCATCATCAAGCTGGCGTCCTTGCAGACGGCCTTCCACACCTTGGATGAGGAGATCAAGATGACCAGCCGACGTGCCACTCGCCTGCAACTGCCGGAGGCCAGGTTTTCTTACGTATAACAAAGGGGTCGGAAGAATTGCCCATAAGATTCCCTTGTGGTTCCTTCATAATTATACTATTACGTAATGGAGGAGTCGGAAGAATTACGAATAGCATTCCCTTATGGTTCCTTCATAATTATACACTAGAATAGCCCCCAAAACCCTATTCGAATTCTCAAGGCCCCTATATAGCCCCTATATTATGTTGATCTCTTAGCAGCTCAGAAGCAACGTAAGCTGCATGGATGCGCAAGCTGGCTTAAGGTGAACGCCCTAGAGTACGTTCTGATCCCCAGGATCGAGGACCGTGAAGGGTTGCCGTAGGTGAAAACAGATTTAGGAAGCCAGTTGGAGGTTCATGGTACTTATTAACCAGTTATAAACTGTACTTATAACCCCCCCTTAAGTGCCTAATAAGTACCATGAACCTCCAAGTAGGGGCTCAGGCTCACCCATCCTTGTGTGACTGGTCCAAGGGCTCCGGTGCACACGCAAGCGAGCCCTGCGTTTCATGGGTGCCCCAACAAGCGGTCCATCGCAGGAGATCATGCACTATATCACTCAGGAGATGGACGAAGAGGCGCTTTCCCACCTCGTGCCAAGAAAGCAATCGGTGCGTGCTTCTCTTATCGGCAGGATGTTGACTTGCAGCGTGTCTTATCAGCTTTGCTTCTAGCTACCAAAAAGCCTGGAAACAAGCTGAGAACATACGATGTACCGCAGTTTTGTATCCACGGCAGACCTGTGAAGCGATTCATGCTGACTGGCGTGCAACTCGGCTCTGCTTGCACTGCGGGGCGCGGCCAGCGTTACATTGGCAACGTGGTAAGAGAAATGATTTTCTCAGCGACTGAGAAAGTTGCCTAAAGCAGCAGACAAAGGCAACCATAGGACGGACAAGCAGCCAGCCAACTGTGCAGGGCCTCTACTCTTGCATCCGAAATCCAGTTTTGATGACAGAAACTTGAAGCAGCCAGAAGCGGAAGGAACATCAGAGAAATCGACATTCGACATGTTCAAGATTGCAGCAGCAAAGCCTCACATCTACCATCCACCCCTCATCCCCTACACCCTAAACCCGAAACGCTTTTCAGGGATTAGGGATCCGGTATACAAGCTGGTTGCAGGCACGCGAAGAGTTCTTCAGAGTGAAGAAGGTCGTGGAAAAGAAGAAGGTTAAAATGGCCAAGGGCTTAGACGTGCATGAGGCTGTCTCGAATTTCAGAGGTACTCTTTCTAGGGAATGTGTGTTTTTTTGTGGGTGTAAGTATACCGACCAACAAGGGTATATGGACCCTGCGAACTCTTTTGGGTGTAGGGGGTCCTGCTTGAAGTTCTACAGGTGCCACGTCTTTGTTCAACAGCTGCGCTTGATTGGTGGGCAGTTTTGGCTGAGGCCAAAGAGAAGGAGCTTGCACTGAAGGCGGGAAAGGAGCAAGTCGCAACTGGCAGCAAGAAGCATGTGGGTGCTACGGTCCATGACTGCATGAACTTTCGCTTGTATCCCAACAAGAAAGGTACATGGCAGATCCAGTCACATTTTTCACATGCCACTGTAACCTCAGGCAGCGATTGACGCAACTTGGCTTGAAACCAATCTGAGTTGATGTCGCCAGGAGCTGCCTTTAAAAAAGTCGTTACCATACTGAGGAATCACACAATATACCCCTATTTCTTTTTAACCTCCTCCAAACAATTCTTAAAACGGAAATCCTTATAAGCCTCATAAAGGGCTGTATAGGGATTCTTCATTGATCTTTTTGGGTTTCTTATGCAAATAGTAGTATACCATGTATCCATCTTGCTAGCCGAGTCTAAGATCCTTAGGTCCAGCTGCCCCGATACTCGCACACAGGGCTGGGTGCGATGGTTTTCAGTTGGATCCTGACAGTCGAGTTGCCGAGGGTTAGGGTTTAGGGTTTCGGGTTTAGGGTGTAGGGTTTAGGGTTTAGTGCCTGATTCCCAGCCCTCGTAGCTAGCCCAAACTGTGCTCAGTTGTGTTTGCTGGGGTGAAGATCCGTGGCGCCAGCAATCTACCAGACCCAGCTAGTCCTTAATCCCTGTGTTTAGTCCCGGCAGGTGCACATGACAAAACGCCGGAACCCAACTCCGTATACATGCCCTAAACAAACCCTAGAACTAAACCCTAAACCCTAAACCCTGAACCGAGGCACCTAGCATCCTACAGTCCAAGAAGGACGAAGACCTGGTGTTCTGATCGGGGGCTTTCTCGTTGAGGGGGGCACCGATCTCGGTTTCCGTTTTTATGGCTGCCGAACTCCCGAAAGTCTCGCCGTGGCGCGGGCTGCACGGACTTAGCAGGTTTAGTGGGTTCATAGGGTTTATAGGGTTTCTAGTGTTTAGTGAGTTTAGTGGAGCTCTCCGGGAGTTTGGCATCACAGGGTAGCGCAGTGAGGAATGTCCATGGCTCACTGGTTGCAGTTTTGGAACCGTCGGGAACAGCACAGAGCACCCTGCAACTGCCTGGCACGACAAGAAGCCCAGCCATTAAAGTAAGATAAACTTCATAGGCCCTGGGGATATTTTCATGTTTGTAAGAGGATCATACTGAGCAATATCTTTTTCAGAGGGGTTTGAGGGCCATCCGAATTTTTCTCAGATGGGTTTAAGGGCCATCCTAGTGATCTACTCTCCAGACATAGTAGTTCATGTGCAGACTGGCTGGCACCTTGCCCAAGACAGGGCAGCAGGCGCACGTTGCAGCGGCATGCTACGTGAGCCTGAAGACTGAGCAGCTGCGTCCCACAGAACCGCTTTTCACTGCAAGCTCACTCTGGCGAGGTACAGCTGAACCCAAACCTAAGACCCTAGGGCCTGTTTACACGAATATACTCACATGAAGCACACAGTCACCTCAATTGCCCGAAGCCTACCTGGATTCTGAAAAAAGCGCCCTCTACTTGAAGCAAAGCACGCCGTGTGCCCAGAAATGGGTGCCTCGGCAGAAGCTATGACGGAAAGGTCTGCCTTAGAATGCGTTCCTTACGGCAGAGCCTTTCTGAGTCCACATTGAGCTCTTGAGGCACCTCTTGCCACAAAAGCGTCCGCTTCCATCTGCTTTTGCAGGGAGTGTGTTGAGGAGGCACATGGTATTGCTGGGACAGCAGAAGCATGCGCCATTCGAAGTGGCCTGCAGCACCCCAGCATCCGTTGGAACCAGCTATCCGAAACCGACCTAAACCCTAGACCACCCTAAAAAAACCCAAGAAACCCTAGAAACCCTGAAACCCTAGACCCTAAACCTCAAAGAGCAAAGCTAAACCCTACACCCTAAACCCTTTTGTGGTCCCAAGCTCTCTGCGTGGATGCTCAGGGTATGGCCAACCTGGTGCCCATTGAAGCCTTGGCCGAGGCCACGACCCACCACGCTTGCATCCTTAGGGTCTAGGGTTTCGGGTTTAGGGCCGGTTGCAAAATGGGTGTAGGGTTTAGGGTTTAGGGTTTAGGGTTTAGGGTTTAGGTTACGAATGCAGTGTTTTGTGGCAGCCAAACTGGGCGGGAGCACAGCCAAGCTCGTTGCTAAAGGGTTTAGGGTTCAGGGTTTAGGGCAGGTTGATTGGGGACGAGGTATATCTCACTTGTGAAGTCTGCCCTGAAGCGTAAGCATCACTCGCTTGCCCTGCAGTGCGTCCGAGAGCATGGTCAGCCACGCCGTGCTAAACCCCAAACCCCAAACCCGAAACCTTAAACCCTAAACCCTAAACCCTAAACCCTAAACCCTAAACCCTAAACCCTAAACCCTAAACCCTAAACCCTAAACCCTAAACCCTATCATGTCTTGCTGTCAAGCCTCCAGGTGCTCGAGGAGCTGTCCCTGCGCCGGCAACCGGACCGAGAAGATCCGGGCTACCTCTTGGAGGCGGGAACTTTTGGGGGGTTTAGGGTTTAGGGTTTAGGGCGTAGGGCTTTGGGTTTAGGACCTAGGATTTAGGGTTTAGGGTTTAGGGTTTAGGGTTTAGGGTTTAGGGGGACTTCGGGGAGTCGGAGTTTTCCCTGACCTTGGAGGTGGCTGTTGAGGATTGTGTTGGGCTCAATTGGGGAGTTGGGTTTTTTTCTTTCCGGAGGAGTAGGACCGTAGTTTTGCCCCCGTAAGATGAACGGCTGTAGGGGTTCGGGGGTCCATGATTCTGTTAGATTCCCTGCTGATATCTACGCTGTTAGAGTAGGGTGCATTGCTGCGATGCTATGGGATAGATGGGGGGGCGGGGGGTGGGGGGGTGGTGTTGTTCTAAATTTGGCCACCTAAATTAGATAGTCATATATTGTTGGTGTGTGGCTTCTGACAAAAAATCAGCACAAGATGATACAATATAGCATCGTGTAATATCATGTTGAGTGTCCCCTTCCGAAAACCAAGTCTAATGAAACTCTTATGTAATGTATCCTAAAATGCCATGTAGCAGAATGCCATGTATACACACACAGAGTATGCAAATATACATATCATTTAAATATGCAGTGCATATATATATATATATGTTATCTGCATATATGTATATACACATATATTCTATGTCAAGATTACAGAAGATTCAGAGCTCAATTCGTCCTCAATCGACTGCAAGGCTCGCATGGAGCTGGAGTGGCGATCCACCATGGGCCGGGCCGCTGAGCAGGGGAGATCCACTCCCTGAACGGCGGGGCTCTGGGATGTTCCCCCTTCTACTAGCAGCTCCTTAATAGGGATTAGAGTACCCCCCCCCCTTAAGGACTGGTATAGTATAAGGGGGAACATCCCAAGTTGGTTTTTGTTTTATTTGTTGCTTCTTGTGGCTGTCCGAGAACTCTCCACCCATCATGTGGCTTTCCCTGGCTTTTTGCTCCCTCCACCCATTACCCAACTTGTGCAGCGACTGTGCTGTGGAAGGTGCCCAGGTGCATCTCTAAACTGCTCTTTTTCTACACAGCCGAAGGCCCGAAGAAGGCTGGACACAGATGTGCAAGCGCAACCGCCCCAAGCCCGCAGAGCACTGCCGGAAGCAGGAATATTGAAATACCAGTCGTGCAGTCCATGTCAATGTGTCAACACGAGCAAGAAGCATAGCAGCCATCGTGCCTCTTCGGAGCAAGGGTGCCCGGTAGTATGCTTACCCTTGTTCTCTTTGTTGGGTGTTGGGTTCTCTATTAACCGCCGAGAGCAGCCTCCAACAGTACTGGGCGCAAACCCTCAACCCTAAACCCACAACCATCAACCCTAAACCCTAAGCCCTAAACCCGAAACCCGGCGTGCGTCGTGCGTGCCCAGGCCTTGGCGGGCGGACCGCAGCCGGGGAGCTGCGCCTATTTGCGGCCGATCTGCGGCGGGGCTGCAATGGTTCCGATGGCCATTTGGAACCCTGACGGTTCCTGGGAGGATTTCAGGGTTTAGGGTTTACAAGGTTTACAGGTTTACAAGTTGAGAGTGTTTAGAGGGTTTAGAGGGTCCACAAGGTTTAGAGGGTTTATAGGGTTTTAGGGTTGGGGACCGAATGAACCAAGGACAAATCGGGTCGTATGCCCTATACTCTACTACAGCGATGATCACTACGATCAAGGTTTCTGAACCATGAACTCGTTTAGGTGTCATTTGGTCCCGAAGGAACTGATTTAGAAGGCTTACATGGAGCGTAGTTATAGGCTTACAGTTTGCACAGCCTGTTTTTGCATGGCTTATCGGTTTTCTTTTCCAAGGGCATTGAGAGTTTGGGGGTTACGGGTTCAGTGCTTATGTAGGATTAAGACTGCGCATGTCCCTTTCTTGCTACCAGGGTACAGAGGTTACTCTTAGGTGCATCTGCATTCCGTATTAGAGGGCGCAGAGGTCTTACAACGGATACATCGAACAGCACATAGAGCACCTGAAGCCCTAAACACAACTAAACCCTAAACCCCTGAACCCAAACCCCCTAAGCCCCCTAAGCCCCCTAAACCCCCTAAACCCCTTAAACCCCCTAAACCCCCTAAACCCCAAACCCTAAACCCTAAACCTCACCCTCCCCCCCCTCCCCCTATTTAGTGTGTCTCCACTTTCCGCCCGCCGGAGCCCCTAAACCCTAAACCCTAAACCCTAAACCCTAAACCCTAAACTTCTGCAAACGAGGCGGCCCAGGGAGCTGCCAAAGGCCTGTTCTCAGTGCATCGTTGGGCGGTTAACTTGGGGTTGCTCGGGGGTACCGACTAAAGGTCCCATATCCCATACGGCCATTTATATATATGTATATATATATATGTATGTATGTATGTATATATACTACGTGTACTGTATGTATGTATGTATGTATGTATGTATGTATGTATGTATGTATGTATGTATGTATGTATGTATGTATGTATGTATGTATGTATGTATGTATGTATGTATGTATGTATGTATGTATATATGTATATATGTATATATGTATATGTGTATGTTGCAGAGAGGGAGAGGAAGCAAGAGTGTCAGCTGATAGAAGGATGGGAGGTTTGGCGCCAAAGTCTGAGATTCAGGGTTTGTCGTTAGGTGGTGAGGTTCACGTGCTGCGCAGTGTGGATGCGAGTGCGGCGGAAAGGACACGCTGTTGGCGCGGCTCAACGCGCGTGAAGCAGACCTGGGATTTGGCCGCCGGAAGCTCAGGCTTTCCTTCCTGTTCAGGTCTGCCTCCAATTCGATGACCAGCCGACCCATCGAGGAAATCAGCAAGTACTGTTGTTTCCCTCTCCATCTCTCTCCTTCCACACTTGTCTTGCTTAATCAAAAAACATATACTATCATATAGCACATTAGTTCTCAAACAAGTTGCGCAGCTCTTATACTTCTGACAGCTCTTCTCCAGTCGAGTTCCCCACTGCGCCTGTGGACTCCGAGATGGCTTTCCGAACCTCCGGGCCATGGTGGGCCCTAAGCGCCAGGGCGCTGGGACCCTGCGGAGGCAATCTGAGGGCTGGGGCGGAGTTTTTTGGGATCAAACAAACCCTGCAAGGGTTTAGGGAGTTTAGGGTTCATAGTACCTTAAGTAGGAGTTCTATAGTAGCATATAGGGTTGCCTTTTGGGGCCAAATGCCCCCCTGAAAGGGTTTTGGGTTCATAGGACCTGAAGTAGGAAGTATGTTGTAGCATAGGGTAGCCGCAAAGGGACTAAATGAACCCTGAAAGGGTTTAGGCTTCATATGACCTCCATAGGTAATAGTAGGATAGGGTATATGATCCCAATTTAGGGTTCACTTGCCCCCCCCCCCCCCCAGGAGTATGTATGTGTGTGTGTAGGATCGCGAATCTACTTCCATACATATGTACATATATGTACATATATATACATATATTTGTGTTTGTTCATTTTTGTTTATTTGTTTATTTGTTTATTTATAGGGTGTATGAAAAGCCTTGTCCTTTTCCTCATGATTTTCGTAAAGTCGGCTCAAGGGCCTGCTAAGGCCCCGGATACTTGATGTGTTGATGGAAGCTCTGGCTGAAGACTGAGGGGGTAAGGTATGCCAGGGCAAGGCATGTGGATGGCTCTCAGTTCCACAAATTCTCATGGTTCTTCTACATGATGATGGGTTTGCACTGCCATATGCGGTGCTGCTCATGTTCACGCCGCTTTTACGGAATTACTAAGCCCATGACTCCATGACGTTTCAGCGGATGTGCCGCAACTTGTGCTAGGCCCTTTGGCGAAGACCTCCTGCCTGCGGAGGCGTGTTTTTCAGAGGTTTTGACCTTTATGAAGACCGTGCTAAAGCAAAATCGCTGCGGACAGGATCGCTCTTCACGGCGGTTGATAAACCAAAAGGAGTGATGAACCAGACATTCTTGCCAAAGAGATATGAACCTCCCCCCTGGTAGCCAGGCAGAGCCTTCCGTGCTGGAGAAGTCAGAGGAGCCCCGGCAAAAATCGGCGGGCTCGAAATCGGAAAAGGCGTTTCCGGGCATGCTCAGTACATAGTGAACCCATTATGGGGGTTAGGGGGACCCCATTTATACCCCAAGTAGAGTATTGTCCCTCTTAAAGAGCGCCCCCCAAAACGGGGTACGGAAGCCACCAAGTTGGCCGCGAAGGACGGCTCAGTGCTCTTCTTGAAGGTCGGCCTTTGCGCCAGCGGGGCACTCATGGGAAGTGTTGTAGGGTATACCTGGTTGGAACCCGTAACCCTAAACCCTAAACCCTATAAACCCTAAACCCTAAACCCTAAACCACCGTGTGGATCTTGTGGACTCAGGCTCGGGGAGCTTCTGAAGTGATGGAAAGACTCGGTTTTGCGTCGCCGGACGGCATAACAGTATGGCCTGCGACTCCACATTGACAGCACCCTTTTGAGAAACGGCAGCTTGTCCTATAACCTATAATTTAGCATAAAACGCTAGTATAACCCTTTGTTTCGCCCCCCACCATTCAGCTTATCTTCACCACCATGCCCTACTCATTAAAGAGAAGCCTCGGGGGTGGCGACTCAGTCAACTAGGCGGATCAGAACACTAAACCCTGAACCCTAAACCCTTTATAAACCCTAAACCCAAACCCCAAACCGCCCCCAAAAAACCCTCGCGCTTCGCGAGCGCGCAGCCAGAGACGAGGCCGGGACGTTTATCCTGACGGCGGAGAGGCAGCCTGGCTTAACATTCTTGGTAGCCCAGTGGCAGCCCTTACCCTTGTTTTTCGTTCTGGTCTCCCTTCGAATACTGGGCTACCAAGGATTTCTGCTGTTAGGATGGAAAGTTGCAACTTGGTACCCAGAAATCCTATTGGGCGTGGTTTTTGGGGCGGCGTGGGCTGGATCCATGACACCGGTACCGCCAGTGGACCCTAGAGGCACCACTTGGCCTTGAAATTATAGGCCCCTATGTAGACATCAAGGATCCATGACACGTCGGTTGCATAGCTGGTACATGTTGGGAAATCGAGACATCCGCCCAATGAGCATGAATGAGGTCACGCATCGGGGAATGCTGGCTACGCCACGACTGAACGCACCTGAGGCCACGCCGCTGGAGAACATAAAGTGCCACTCCCCTTCAAGTGTCCAGGTATTCTTATGATAAGGGAGTATTTTGGGGTCTTTTTTGTGGGTTCAAGCTTACGATTTCCCATATGAGTACATGGACCCCTTTGGACCTCCTTGGGGTGCTATTGAATGGGACAGCATCTGCTAGACCACCACTCCCATCTTCGCATCTCGCAGAGGTATCTGAATCGCGGCACCCTGCGCTGAATCCCATCTGTACGTCTACAGCGTTTTGGAAGGACAGTCGAGAAGTGTGTCCCTTAGAGATCTTTCAGATATAGGCTATAGGGGGTGTAGGGTGCATAATTCCCGGACTCCTGGCTAGGATTCCATGCGTATGTAACCCCCAAGCCCCAACCTTTAAACCCTGCAATCCCAGAATCCCTATATGTGTATCCCTAACAACCCTAAACCCTATGCACCCCACAAACCCTAAACCCTACAACCCTACAAACGAAGCAGCATCACCTTCTAAACCCCAAGCCCAAACCTTACAGAACCTGTAACTCAAGAAGCCCACAAACCCTAAGCCCCGGCACCCTATAAACCATAATAAACCCCTTAACTTTCTACGCCTCGTAACCCGTCTTAACCCCAACTCCAAGCCCAGATCATTGACCATCAAAGACGGTAACTATACATACATATATATATATATATACATATATACAAATATATGTAAAAGCAAAAACAAACATTTAAAGCTAACAATAATACTTAAGTTGCGTGATCGTATGAAACCCCGGAAGTGGGAGGCATCTCGGGTGCTGCCGCACATCGTGTTCGTGTCCCCGGCGCTGCTCCACGCCAGGCTTCCCACCACCGGTGAGCAGCGGCCCCGGGGTTTAGGGTTTAGGGTTTAGGGTTTAGGGTTTAGGGTTTAGGGTTTAGGGTAGCCATTTGGCTCAAGGGCCATTTTGGCTCAAAGGTATTTCGGCTACGAGACCCAACGCGGGTAACTTGCAGGAACAATTCGTGCCAATTTGTCGTTACATCACTTGTGGACTCGTCCTCGCAATGGTGTCAGACAGGGACATGGGCAAGCTGTATTCGTGCCTCGGCTATGCTTTTGCGGAAGGTGCGAAATTCCAATATCTCGTCCGAAGTGGAAAGCCTTTTGTGGGCCGCCATGAGTGTCCTCAGGCAACAGAGACAGTCGTCGCTGGATTCACATGCAGGGTGCAGCGTTCACGCACGGGTTCCCATCAAGTTGGTTGAGCATCTGACTCTGGTGAATCCTGGGCATGGCGATGCTCAAGCAGACGGCGGTGTTACAGCAGGACATAGCGGTGGCTCGCTGACAAATCCTGACACGTGCGCATGTGAAAACGAGGCTTTCGTTGCAGTTGGGCATACACACCTGGCCACAGATTCCAGATCGCATAGAGATATTTCAAACGTGGGCGCTGGTGCAAATGTGAAGCTCGCACCCCAGAAGGTGCATGACCGATCGGAAGCCAGAGGTGACGAGCTTACTGCCACGACCGTGGAAGCTATCCCGTCCTTCATTGAAGATCCGGAGGGCTTTGTGCGCAGGTATGCCGCTCTAGCGGCTAATGATGAAGAGGCTGTAAGGGGCTTACAGTCGGTCCTGGCTGATCTTCGTGAAGAACATCGAAGACTCCCGCATGGTGCTCAGCGCTCATGGCTTCTTCGTGCCTGCGTGTGCATTCGCGCAGAGATCCGCAACTATGGAGGCTGTCCGGTCTAGCAGGGGCGTTTATGTCTGAACCAGTGAAGAGTGGGCTATGCAATCTTTTCAGCCATTAATCCATGAACGGCTCTTTCGTCAGTTCTCATATGTAGTCCTGTTTAATAGCATCAGTTCATCATGGGCTCGTCAACTGGCCCGTTTGTCATAGACAAGGGTGAGTTTCATCTTGCCCGGCACACGAGATGTTGGGGCTAGGGTGGTGACGGCATCATCCAGGCGAGGACCTTCTGCAAGCCTGCTGCAAAAGGGTTTAGGGTTTAGGGTTTAGGCTTTAGGGTTTAGGGTTTAGTGTTCGGGTTTAGTCTGAAGTCTTGCAAATAGCTCATGGAGTACATCATGCAGTATTCTGGATTCTTCAGGCTTTTCCTGGCGAGTGGGGAAAGATCCGATACCCAGCTCAAACCCTCCAAACTTCTTCACTGCCTCAAACCCCCCAAACTTCTTCACTGCCCTGAAGAACCATGCTCCACGCTAAACCCTAAACCCTAAACCTTAAAACCTAAACCCGAATGTGATGGCACTGTTGAGGTGCTGCGCCTTCATGCCACCTCCTGACAATGGTGCCTGCGCGGCGCGGCCCTTGGGTCCCCGGAGGAAGATGACGCCTTCCCTTGCGCAGGGGAAGCTGCAGTGGCTAAAGTCGCATGGCAGGGGTTGCTTGGGCGCGGCCGCCTGCAACACCTACAATCCCCAAGCTTTGAGACACTCTTCATCAGCAGCCGTGTGACACTTGAGTATACGCCGCTAGTTAAGTCAAGGCTTCTTCTGTACTTAAGCAACGTCTCCTGCTCGCAGGTCCCAGTGTGCACCTGCGCCCGCCTTTGCGACACGCAGCGCGCGGCCTTCATGGT